CACTCATTAGCCCCGGGGATCTCCCGGAGATGAAGAATGTGTGAAGGGACTGTGCTGCGAGTCCTCTCGGTGGTAGGCTCTGGGGACTGTCATCTTTAAGAATGACCCGTCTGGTTTCCTTTTTCAAAGACTTGAAGGACTCATGGAAAAAGAGGGAACATCTGAAGGGTTTGTGTAGTGGCAGAGGCAGGCTTTGGGAGAAAAAGCAGCAGGTGGAAACTTTAGAAACATCTCTCTGTGGAGGCTTTCTGCTTAGTCTGGAGTGCCAGTCACCCCTGTTCCCTCTCCTCCTTTTCTGGAAGGACTAGGGCTCTCAGGGTTGGCACATGGCCCCTTCCTGGAAACAGACTCCTCGCCCAGTTGTCCATTCAACCTTCCAGTTCCTTCTGCTGCAGAGTGAAGCTGGAGGGACGCTGCTGCAGACTAGCCTAGGAGCTCTTGGAAGTTTGATTGCCATTTGTGATCAAAGATGCAAACAGGTTTGAGCCAATTTTGCAAATACCAGGCTTCCTCATGCTCTGTGGGACTAGCTAAATTCTTTTTATATACTCTGTATTTATCACTGTAAAGTACTGCTTGGTGCTGGAAGGACAGGAGTGTATACAGGAAGACAGAGTAGTTCTTGTCCTGTGGCTATGAGCCACCAGTGAGATAGTAGACAGGTTCCAAGAACATGATCATGGCTGCAGTGGCATGCAGGTACAGGAATCTGAGACTGATGCCCCTGGGGAGGGAGGAAACACACTTCGTTCCCTTCTTGCAGGAGCCCAGGTCTTCAGGGGAGACACCATGAAATTTAGGGATGGTTTAACCTGGCTGGAATGTGTTTGGTGGAGGGGACACAGTAATTCTAAGCTGGGGAGGCTGAGAGCACTAGGTCAGGAAGGCCCTGTCTGCCTCTTAGGGATCTCAGTGAAGCCATGGGGTCTGGGAGTACTTTGGCAGGACATTTCTTTTTAAAGAAGCTGCTCTGGCTGGCAGCCTGGGATGCATGGGAAGGTCAAGGCAAGATAGAGTAATGAGTAGGGCTGTTACACGAGGTGAGCGTATCAAGGTTGAAGTCCTTGGGAGACCCTGAGCACATACGTGCACTGGCAAGCTCATGCCGCCCATTTGGGGAAGCTTCTCAGGGCTGAGGGCTTCCTGTGCAGTTTGCTGTTTAGCTTCTTACCTCAGCAATCCCAAGTAATTAGTGGCAGCTGTGACGGGAAGGAGCCAGAGGAGGGTGGACCCTGGCTTTCAGAGGTGTGAATACCAGAGCTTTGCTGGCTTGGGAGCTCTGTGATGCCCTGTAGTTATGAAGGGCATTGACTGACGGTTGGTGAATCTTCATACACCATCTTCAGCTTGCTCTCACCCTGTGAGAACAGTGACAGGTTGGGTTGTCCTGGCTATGAAGTGGGGTGCATATGGCCACCTTCCTGCCGGGTAAAACTCCCTTCCCTCCTGGGTCCCTAGTGGACAAGCATTTGATCCTTTTGTTAGCTTTGTGCTTGTTGGAATTGTCTATTGTATTTATTACGTTTTTTTTTAAAAAAGACCATCTCCTTTTGCTCACATGTCTTTCTGTATTTAGCCAGGTCAACACCCCTTGTGCATGTTTGTCAGTCCTAGAGACTTGATATTTAAGGTCCACAATGCCCCAAATAACTTCCATCCAGGTGTGACTCCAGGAGGTGGCTGGAAGGCTTTTAGGAATGTTGGTAAATGATGGTCAGCAGGAAAACCCCCCAGAGCTTGGGGACACTTGTCTCTGGGCTACCTGTGTCAGTTTTTCAGGCTCTGTGCCCTAGCTTTGTTCATTGGAATTCTGGCTCTTTTGAGGCTGTCTTTATTTACTTTCCTGATAGAAATTTAACATTAGGACCAGAAGAGGCGTACAAGAAGCTGAGTCACCCAGCCGGTGGTGGAAGGGCTGGGCCATGTCTCGGCTCCAAGGTACCTCCTTTGTTTCTGCCTCCAATGCTTCCCAGGTGTTGGTGCCAATTATAGATGTACTTGCATGCTGTTGTGCTTTGGGCACATGGCTAGCACACTTTAACAACCAGGGCCTGCAGGGACAAGCTAGGTGCAGTGCAAGGAATGAGTGAAGGATGTTGGCATGGCCCCTCACTAGTATATTCTCCAAGTGTGAGTATCTCTCCTTTCACACAGCTTTACCTGTTCGAGGGAACTGGATCTTTGCTCCCCTCAGAAGAGAGCATTTACTCAGGAACAGGGTCCCCAAACCAGCAGGTCACTGTTGTCAGGGCTGGTGTAGGGTAGGGAGGGTAGGGGGCTAATAGTCCACATGAGGTCTCTGATACTTGTCTGTGAAATCATGATGCTGATGTGGTTCTTGAATATGGAAAGGGTTTCTGGGCTTTTGATATGAGTTATGATGTAAATGCCCCCTAGCTGAGTGCCTGATGAGGTTGAATTACAGGTCACTGTGGTCCCAAGTTTGAAAACCAGGAAGAGAAGAGCTATGGAAAACAGCTTCCCTCTGGTCGTTACTTGCTCTTTCACCTCCTGTTTGCCGCTGGAGGACAGGGACTCCCTCGAAGAAAACTGCCTGTGTTGATAAGGCTGTGAACAGTTGGTTCACTTTGTACCGTGCGGGAGGCCCAGCATAACCCTGCACAATGGGTAAATAATGTTTACCCAAGGGGGTGGCCGTGGAGCAGCCACAGTAGTTTCGACAGTCCTCATGCTTGTAAAGAATAGTCTGTGCTTTCTAGCAGTAACTGCTGATCTGAGGAAAACAGGTTCGAGCACAGTGTCCAAAAATCTGTAAGGGACCTTCTTTCCATTCTGTGACTCGGGGATCCAGTGTCTGGGGCAGGACTGGGCATCATTATGGAATTCACTAGTACGTCATCTATAACTGTTCAGGCAGGAAGGAAAGTATGGCTCTTCTTTGTTTGAGACAGTTTCTCTGTGTAACAGCGCTGACTGTCCTGGAACTTGCTCTGTAGACCAAGCTGGCCTCAAACTCGGATCTACCTGCCTCTGCCTCCGGAGTGCTGGGATTAAAGAGGTGCGCCTCCACCTCCTGGCCCTTAATTTATTTTTTAATTAAACATTTGCAGTGTAGAGGGCCAGGGAGGCCCAGCCAGGCCCAGAATCACTCACCAGCTCTGTTCTTGTAGAAGTTTAGTGTGTGGGTATAGTAACTTAGATGGAAAATTCAGGCAGAATTAGTGTCAGGCCTTAAGTCAAAGTCTGAATAAAGTAGGTCTAGGTGGATGGTCTGAAGAGATTTAATGTCAGGTAATGGGCAAGTGAGGTTTTGTAACTACTGAAGTCATGGTCTTTGGGAGATCTGTGTGCTGGTTTTCTGGGTACAATTTATAGGTGACCCAGGGTAAGGCTTGGTTTTGGGGATCCCTGGGACATGATGGTCTTGGGGCCACTGGTAGGAATGGGTTTCTGGTACAGATCTCCTTCAAAATCCAGCCACCCTCTCCAGGTTCTCCAGGGCCCTGGTAGGGGCTTCTACTCCTAGACTTTAGGGTACCAGACAGTGTCTGGTGTTGGGGGTTGTGGTGGCTGTGAGTTAGGAGCTGCTATTGTTGTTTTTTTGTTTTTTGTTTTTTTTTTTTTTTTGAGACAGGGTTTCTCTGTGTAGCTTTGGCTGTCCTGGAACTCACTCTGTAGACCAGGCTGGCCTCAAACTCAGAGATCCACCTTCTTCTGCCTCCCAAGTGCTGGGATTACAGGCGTGTGCCACCACTGCCCAGCTGAGTTAGGAGCTGCTAACAGGCCAGTGTGAGCACAGATTGCATGCTGTTTGGCTTGTGGGCTTGTTCACCTGTTTATTGCCATAAAATCAGGAGGCCAGAGCAGAAACCTAGGGTGTGACAGGGAACCCGGTGATACAGTGTACGGTCGTTTTCTCCAAACCTACTGGCTTAGATGGAGGGTGAGTAGCCTGGGACCAGGCTGTGTGTTATCCTTGGAAGTCGGTGAACCAGTTGTCTGAGGAGGCCCAGACCATGCCAGGGCTGTGGTGCACCGCCCCTTCCCCCAGGGTCACTGTGGGGTTGCTGGTGGCGTTGGCTACTTAGTTCCTTCTTTGACTCTGCTCTTCTCACTGACTGGCAGCCACAGGAATTGTTTATAAATATTAAGAGGTGTGTAGAAAGGCTTAGCTCCTATGTGCTAACTGCTAGGATCTAAAGGGAAAGGTATTGCCTAAGGGCACGTTATAGACACAGCCTTATAGTTGTCGGCCTCTTTGGTAGTGAGTTTCTACTATTATAACTATTCTCCTTTTAAGGCTTTTAAAGATGATGTGTCTGTGTGTGGGTGTGTGCATATGGTGTAGGTGCTGGCAGGGCCAGAGGCATTTCCCCCCTGGAACTGGGCTTCCACAGTTGTATGCCATAGCTGTGGGCGCTGGGAACTGAGCTCAGGTTCTGTGAGAGAAGTAAGCACTCTCAGCTGCTGAGCCCTCTCCATCCTCCCACCTCCTTTTAAATGAAGGTCTTTTCTGCCGTGCAGTGGGGCTGAGCCGCTCTGCTGGAATCCTTGGAGTGACTAAGGGCCAACGTGTTCCGATGTCCCCTCGTTCTGGTCAGGACCTTTCCAGTGCTGCCGCGTGCCTGTCCCCGCCGTTGCCTCTCTGTGTTAATGCAGCAAAAAGATGAGTGCAAGTGCCCCTTTGAGCGCCCCCTCTTCTGCCTGTGTGTCAGGGTCCCTGTCTGAAGTGCTGCTCACACTCCTCTGAGGGACGTAAAGAACACTGCTGCCCTTTACCTACCTGGCACAGCAGTGCTGCTGCCTGCCTTGGGCACGGTGCTCCTTGCAGAGGGATCTCTGGCTCTTCCTATTTTTGCTTTAGCTTCCAGCATGTTAACAGGATTTATCTTAACCCATAAATATGCCTCAGAGGTAGTTAATGACCAACTAGGCCTGGCCCTAACTACACTGTGGATTCTGGATCTCAGCATCTCTGACCCTGACCTACATTCAGAAACACTTTCTGCTATGGCCGGTAGAAAGAGTAAAGGCAAGCAAGGAGGCGGCACAGGAGAGGCAGGCAGTGGGCCTCCACGGCGGTACATGGTTGCTTTTTCTTGCTTTCCGTGCCTTGTCTGCTGTTGTTAGTGCTGGACTGCAGTGCGGACTCCCTGGCTGACCTTCGGGTCAAGGAAGTGCTCCCCGTGTCTAAGTCTGTGGGTGACTGCCTCATGCTTCACCAGGCAGTGCACCCTGATCTGAAAGAGGCAGGTACCGCAGCTGTCTGGGCCTGGGGAGAGGCACACTGTCATGAGTGGATCCCTAGGCCCTGCACGGAACAGCTCGGGGAGGGGCCAGCTTGCTTCAGCACATCCCTGTGGCTCAGAGGAAAGAACAACAGAGTAGGAGCTAGTCCACATGCTAGTTCTGGTTCTGCTGAAGCCCTCTGCTCTCTATGCTGAGGATTTCAGAGGTGATTTTGAGCCCAGGTGAGGAAATGCACGGGCATTGGTCAGAGCCTGGTGGTACCAGTCACTGCCCTGGGTGTTGCTCCTCTCCTGTCTCTTCATTTCACCTCAGTCAGAAGGGAAGATCCATGAGAAAATCAAACCACCAGTTTTGCCTTCTGCTTACAGTCCGGTTGGGGCCTGGTCAGTGTGCGGATGGATGAACCTGTGTCAGAGGTGGTATCCCTTTTCCTAATGTGGCCCCTTTTCTTCCAGCCCTCAGGGATGGCTGCTATGCTGGGGGATGCCATCATGCTGGCCAAAGGCCTTGCCAAGCTGACCCAGGCAGCTGTGGAGACTCACCTGCAGAACTTGGGCCTTGGTGGGGAGCTCATCTTGGCAGCCAGGGCCCTGCAGTCTACCGCTGTGGAGCAGATCAGCATGGTCTTTGGGAAGGTGCAGGTGAGAGGCCCCTTACAGCAGTGGGTGTGTGTGGGTGCTGGGAGGCAGACAGCCAGGCTTGGAGCTCTTGATGAGACCAGGGAATGAACCAGGATGCAGACACTGACAGCTTGTTGTAGATGGGACCAGTGAGCCTAGTGCGTCCCACTATTATTTTAGGGTAGGGTAAGACCTTGTGTGAGAATCTGACTGTTATACTAGAACACCAGACTAGGAAGCGGAAATAATACCCACTTCTCACAGTTCTAGAGGCAGGGGAGGCCAAGATTAAGGGTCTGGTAGATTTGGAATCTGGTAAGGGCCCATTTCCTGGTTTCCAGGTTCAGTCCTCATGAAAAGGCAGGTCTTTCAAATCCTCATTCATGTACTAGCATGCTGTGGCTTAGGTTTTAGACAGGGCTCATGTATAGATCAGCCTGGCTCAGCTTCAGCCTTTGAAGGCTCTTCCTATAGGCAAGGCTTGCTGAGCCTCATCTCAGATCTGTTTGTTATTTGCTGAAGGTGCTGCTTTCCAGGGTGCCCTCTGGTGAGGACAGTATTGTCTCCCCCTTTCCCTCATGCTGTTGGGGTGAAGGTTATCTTTGTGACAAGGTCCAGGAATCCTAGAGTCTTATATCAAGGGGTGTTTTTAAGCCAAAGTAGTATCAGGATAGACCTGGGGATAGCATAGTGCTGCCTACCAGCAATTCAGAAGCCTGAAAGGGTAAGGGGGTGCGTGCGTGCGTGCGTTCACGGACATGCATGTGCATTGCCGAGATTGCCCTGCCTCTTTGCTGAGTCCTTTCAGTCCTGTGGCATGTCCTACTAGGGCAGATCAGGTTCCTCGCTGAGGTGCTGTTACTATAACAGAAGACCACCGACTGCAGGCTTAAACAAACACTCTTCTCACAGTTCCGGATAAAGGTCTCATGCTTCTCTGGCTGCAGGGCTGTCCCAGTCCCCAGCCTCTGCAGGTCTGTGGGAAGGTGCAGGTTTAGGTTCCCAGCCCCTTTCTTCCTAAGCAAGGGTGACACTGTGTTCCTCACCCCACAGGTACCTCTAATTTTAAGTTTTTATATCCTGTATACTTGAGGTCCTCGCTGCTGAATGGACGGGTCTATGTGCTTCCACCTACCCATGATTCTATTCAGCCATAGGGCGAAAATCCTTGTCTTTTCCTAGCCTTGCCCTCCTGGTGTTGAGGTTGGGTGGTGGGTGTTGTCCCTGTGGAAAGCTGGACGCTGAGCTTGCCCCATTGTGCTGGGTCACTAGTAAGACTGCATTCCAGACCAGCCTTCACCAGTGTGCAAGCTACCACCCAGGACTTCCTCCAGAGTCTAGAACAGGCAGGGTCATCTTCCTTTAGCCACTGGAGACAGAAGATGGACAACCCGCTGCCGTGGAGGAGGCCCTGCGTGCAGTGACCACGTGGGTTCCCTGACTCTTAGAGCTCTGGTTCTTCTCTCCACCCTGGAGGTCTGAGGGCTCTGACTGCTCTGGGAGCCCGTGTACCTCTTATTCACACATTTCATCAGGTATTTGCAGAAACTGGGCCCCAGCTACTGTAACAGCAGTCACATAAGACTAGGAGGCCATCATCGGAGTTGTGGGATGGGAGGGGGTTCTGCCCTGACTCTTCATTCCCTGGCTGTGAGGTCCCCAGAGCCCCAGTGACTCATTGCTTCTACTCTGAGACTTTGGGTGGCAAAGAGCAAGTCCTTGGCTTTGGACCCCTTCTCTGCTGTCTGTCCCTGTCTCAGTCACATCTACTCTCAGGCTGTTTCCTGGGGAACTGAGAGTAGCACCTAGTCCGCCCACTTCCCTGGGAGAGCAAGGCTTGCTCTTCAGTCCTCAGAAGACCTCAAGTAGCTGCACACGGGGCTCAGGTCTCCTGCTGTTGCTGTATGACATGTGGAGAGCACGTAGGCCATGGCATTTGCTCAGATTTCATTTGAAGCAAGGACCTGGCCGTAGGCCTGGACCCTCCCTTCCCCCCCAACTCTGGCACACAGTGCTATTTAATTATAGCCTTCAGCAGTAGTTTCTGTGACCTTGGGTGTAACCTGTCACTGTCTGACAGTGACAGCCCTATTTTCAGATGTAGAAGTCACCGAGAGTGCTTAGGAACTTGTTCAGGTTCACTCCAGGTTAAAATTTTGAATCTGGTCTTGAAGGTTGGTCCTATAGCTTACAAAGGAAACATGGGTGTCTTCTGCCCCTCTCTCTGTGTTTGAGACTGACAAGGACAACCAGGCTCTGACCACCTCTGGCAAGATCCCCTTAGCCACATGCCAGGGCTGATGGTAGGGTCTGTGTCTACAATGAGGTGTTGCAAAACCCGTTGGTTTCCATCTGTCTGCTCCTTCACTTTTGGAAGCTCTCCTCATCTTTTGTCCTGGTTTCTCTCCGAAAAGCCCCATGGGCTCAGTGTTGGCCTGGCCTCATAGGTGAGGAATCTGTTGCTAGTCATGTGCATCCTCCCTGGCTCTGTCTGGGCCCACAGTAGGTGCCAGTGGTGTAGAGCCGCCTGCCTGAGATCACCCAGCACACCTGCCAAGGAAGCAGGTTGGAGCTCTTTGCCGCCTCCTAGGCTTTGAAGGGGACCTCAAATCTTAGCATCACCTTTGGAGGGCTAGAGAGGGCTGGTTGGCAGTCACATGCAAGAACCCTCCCCAGGAGGAGTTCCAGACACATCTGCCCCTCACACTGGCCTCTGATCTCTACAGGGTCAGGATAAGCATGAGGAGTCATATGCTGCCGAGAACTTTGAAGATTTGGAAGCTGAGGTTCAGTTCTCAACACCACAGGCAGCTGGAGCCTTCACGGACTTCTCTGAAACCTCTTCGCCGGACCATCCATCATCATCATCCCTGGGTCATGCCCACAGTGAGGGCCCAGCTGCTACCTATGTCTCTAGTGGACCCTTCAGGGAAGCCGGGCTCTCGGGACAGGCCACCTCTCCTATGGGCAGAGTCAATGGGAGGCTCTTTGTAGACTGCAGAGACGTGTTCTTGGCCAATGGCATCCAGCGAAGATTCTTCCACCAGGACCAGTCCCCTGTGGGGGGCCTCACGGCTGAAGACATCGAGAAGGCCCGGCAGGCCAAGGCTCGCCCTGAGAACAAGCCACACAAGCAGATGGTAGGTCTGTGAGGAGCCAGGTGGTTTCTGCTCCCGATGGGGTTGGTGTTGGCCCTTATTTTGCCCCCTTCCTTTGGGATGCTGTGTGTTTAGGAATATGGAAACTTTGGTACAGTGCTGCCAGCTGGAGTTGCTGCTGGTGGGAGTGGAGAGGGGAGGTGCAGGCAGCATGAGCCTCAGGCTGCCACGTCTCATTTGTCAGTTTTGTCAATTCCATAGGTCTCTCTTGTTTTTCCCTTCAGCTCAGTGAGCGGGCTCGGGAACGGAAGGTGCCAGTTACCCGGATTGGGCGGTTGGCCAACTTTGGAGGTGAGGTGGCCACGTTTCCCCGTGCTGCCCCTCCCCTACTGCCCTGCCCTGTTTGTCTTGGTTGAGTGGCCACTGTACGTTAAGGTGGAAGTGGTTGGGAATCCAGCCATGCCCACTGTTGGGTAGCGTGTGGCTTGTTGCCCATGAACTAGCTGTTGAGGATGGTAAACTGGTTACTGGATTCTAGCCCCATCTTGGCTTATCCCTGGGGCTGGTGTGTGGCTGAATCTTTCTGTGAGCTGTAGCTTGAACTACGTGGTGGACCCTTCTTGGGGTCCACCGGAGGAGACCAGTTGTGAGTACAGGCTCCTCACTGGGCCCTTTTCCCCTAGGTGGAGGAGTTTCTGCTCGGGGACCAGCCATTTAGAGATCCTGTTGTAAGAAGTTATTAATATTTACTATTGGTTTATCTTCTGGTAACACTGCTGTTAATCCTCAGCAGCTGTATAACCAAATCACCACACAGAGACTGGGTTTTTAGTTAACCTAGAACATAATGCTGGGCAATATTTACTCCCTCCTAAACCTTCAAGCCCTCAGTTTCCTAACATTTAGAGTTCCCACCTTATACTTGCTTTTTGTGAAATCTTAGGTCTGGTTCATGCTCCACGTCCTCCAAGCTCTCTCCTCCAGCTCTCTTCCCTCTCCTCTCGCGCCTTCTCCTCCTTCTCCTCCCACTCTTTTCCTGCTCTCTCGCTCCTCCCCTCTTTCCTGTCCTCTGGCTCCTCCCATTGCACAACATTGTATCTAGTTGCTTTATTTTGTCCTGTTTACACAAGAGTTGAGGCAGGATGTTTATAATGAGTATCACAATGCAATATCCGGATTGAAACCAGAGAGTTGGGGGTGGGGAAATCAACATTTGAATTAACAAGGGTAAGGCGTATACATTTTAAAAGAGCATTATACCAACAAGAACCCATTTGCCAGATCCCACAGGTCTGCGGCTGTTAGTGTAGTGGTATTGACATGCTGTGGCCCTTTGTCACTGTTAGTTAAAGCCATTTCAGTTTGCTGCACTGCTGGAGACTTCTTTTGGCCTTGCTTTTGTGCGAACAGCCTTTGACCTACCACACCTGTGCCCTTCCTGAGGGACTCCCATGCTGTGCAGGTGTGTCCACTGTCCATCTGCAGAGGTCCTGTTGAGCTTGCCAGCCATTCACAGTGGGGCGCTCTGACAGGGCTTCTGAAGCTGTCCTCAGCTGTCCAGGCAGTGCAAATAATGAAAGAAGAGCTTTGGAGGCTTGTTTCACGTACTGGCCTTAGACAGATGGTTAGGTACATAACAGGCCTGGTGGGTTCATGATGATGCTGGTGTTGAGTTGGTCAGGGCGGCCCAGGACCTTCTGTCTACCCTTTTCTGGTAAATAAGTCCTCTTCTATATCCTGTCTGTATCACTTATTTTTTACCCCCTTCTGTTGCCAAAAGATGTGGAAACAACAGGAGGTTTCAGGAGGTTCCGGCTGTGGGCACTGACTGTTTCTGGAGTGAGGCAGTATGTCATGGTAGTTGTACTACGTCATAGAGCAAATTCTCTACCTTGTGTCGGAACAGGAAACAGAATGTGACAGGAGCATGCTGGGAATGATACACCCGAGGATGCAGCCCCAGTGGAGAGGCTGCTGTTCTGTGCAGTCACAGAGGAGGAAGCTGAGCCCAGACTTGTCTTGTACAGGGGCATCTAAGCAGCTGTTCTAGAACTAGGTCCCTCCCTTCCCGTGCAGCCAGCAGAGGACCCGTCAGGTCTTCCGTCCTGGCTGGTGCCATTCTGGGAACAGAAGACAAGTCCTGAGGCCCTGGGAAAAGATGCCTCAGGGTGTTCTCTCTCCCTCTTTTTTGTTCCTCTTCCCCTGTACCTGGGCTGTAGCTCCTGTCCCAGGACCCCATCGTCTCTGCGGTAGAGAATGTTGTTAGATGCCAGATACTCAGGATACTGTTAATCCCTAGAAGCAAAGGACAATACTCACCTGTCTGCTCTATGTGGACTTTCCTAACGAGTGAGTGAGCCATGTGTATTAATTAAAGTGGGGTTTAGGGCTGAGGATGTGGTTCAGGGAGTTTTCGACCTTGCTTTGTGCACACAAGACCCTGGGTCCATCCTGAGTACAAGCAGGGCCTGGTCTGTAGCTTCTGCAGAGGCCCCTCTCGGCCTTGCTGTGTGTGTAAACAGGCCCTGGAGTTTGAGCAGGCTGAGCTAGCACCACCAGAGGTGGTGGCTTACTGCTCTTGCTCTCGCTGTCACTCAGCTCGTGAAGGTCCCTGTTGTTGAAAGTTGTTTTTGCTTTTCTCACCTCTGTGACTAGGAGGAAGTAGAATGACCTCCATAAGGACTTGAGTAGGGGGTGGGGCTCCTGAGTTGCCCAGAACAGGCTCCCAACCTGGACACAGGCCCGCCATGCATCTGCTTTGCCTGCGGGAGAGCTATATGCCCCGTCACTTTCTTTCCGCCTTTCATGAGAGAAATATTGGGACCTTGCTATGTATGGCCAATGTGCTTGACAGGCCAGGGAGAAGGCCAGGCCGCCAAGAGTGCTTTTCTCCTCCCAGTGACATGGAGAACAGGCTCTTCCAGACCGTGGATCACAGGAGGAGACGCAGTGCTGTGAGATTCTCTTGGGTGCAGAAGCAGGGCACCTGAAGGTGGCAGAAGATCCCAGCTGAGGTTCCCCTCTTCCCACAGTTGAGTTACCCCAGGTCTGCCTGGCTCTGCACAAAGGCTGAGCTGGCCAGGGGATTCCAAGAATCCACCCCAGGCCTGGTGGGGGCGGGGGGAACAGGGAGCCAGTTTATTCCGGGTTCATAGAACTGGGGAGGCCAAGATCATGCCTGCTGGCTGGGTAAGCTTGTTTTTACATCCTGGTCTGCCTGCTGCAGGAGCTTGCCCCTCCATTGGCAGCCCCTGGGCATGGTGCAGCCACTGAACAAGCTACTGAGGCCCTCTTCATAGGGTGTTTCTTCAGGCATTTGTTTAAGAAGAGTCTCCCCATTGTAGAGTTTGTACTTTGCCTGGGAACCCAGAGACGGCCAGGAACAGTTGGACACAGCACTAAGTCTAGCCAGAGTATGTTTAGGAGGGCCCTGAATGTTGTACGTTCGGCTGGGCAAGCTGATGGCCTGTGACGTCACCTGCCTTTACTGTGGGCTTGTCCCAGGACTTGCTCTAAGCAGGAGGGACTCTCGGGGACCCTGGTGAAGGTTAATGTGGCTGTGCCCCCTTCTTTTGCTAAGTTAGATGTTGTGCTGGGTAGGGTGAGGAAGATAGGGGGTGAGGAGTTAATGTTTAACCGGACTGTAGCTGCAGTGCCCAGTGCCCTCCAGAGTGGCAGGGATGGGAGGAGTGTTAAAGAGAACAGACATCCCAGTGTGCCAACACGTCCCTGGCAGGATGTTTCCGTCATGTCTCTGGGCATTACAGGAGCTGTTTCTTCTTCCACTTTGGCTCGTCCTACCCCTCAGTGTACCACGCAGGTGCCTTTCCACAGGGTATGAAGGTAGTGCACACACCCACAGCTGGAAAATGCCTTTACTTTTTATATTGGTTTCTGCTTTAGGTATATTGGGTTAAATACAGTAGACTCCATTCTCCATGCTTCTTCTTGCCTTTTTTTAATGGCCTCTGAACATTTAAAGTCATGCATGTGTTTGATACGAGACCTCTTTTGTCATCACTGCCCTGTTTGGGAAAAGCAAGCGTGTTTGCAGTGCCGTGGACCTGAAGTGTGTGTGGGCCCTGTATGCCCTTAGTTCTCTCTGCGCACTCTGAGGCAGAAGCTGCTTGCAGGATAGCCAAAGCAGAGCGTGCGCTCCACCTAGTGGCAGATAAGATATATTATCAACGGTGTAAAAGAATTACCTTTTAATTAAAAAGCATTTTAAAAATTACTTGAGTTTTTTTTTTCTTTTTCTTTTTTCTGAGACAAGGTCTCACTCTATACTCCTGGATAGCCTGGAATTTGCTTTGTATCCCTGGCTGACCTTGAACTGTGGCAGACCTCGTGCCTCTGCCTCCCAGATGCTGGGATAACGGGCATGTGTAGCCATGCTCAGCTTAAATAAATTTTTTTTTTGATGATTTTCCAGTAAATCCAGTGTTGTTTTTTTTGTTTGTTTGTTTTGTTTTGTTTTTTTTTTTAACGTGCTATTATTGTAGAAAGGCCAGAGAACAGTCTCACTCACCTCACGCTGTCTCTGAGTGGTGTGCCTACTCTGGGCAGCCCTTGAGAAGGGAGCTCCCAGGAAGGCATGGGCCCTAGCAGGACTCCCAGGCTTTCTGCCTGGCCTTGAGTACCTGCTGGGAGGGACGAGCCAAGGGCTACGGTTCTCAGTCCCTGCCAGTGCAGCCAGCATGGCAGGAGAGATGGGCTGGGCTCTGTTCTGGCTCCAGAGCCTTCAGCTGGGACACCTGTGTTTTTGCTGTGTGGAACATTCCAGCCTTACTGCTAGCTGTTTTATATTGCTACAGTGGTGACTTAGGAAGTTCAGGACTCCTCCTGATGCCCTTGCAGACTTGAGGTGCGGGGTTGTCTCCCATGGTCTTATTACCGGAAAGTGGCCCACACACCAAGCCTTCTCCATCTTCCCATTTGTGCTGCTCCCTCCCAATATGGAGTTTGTGTTCCCATGAGTGTGTGGTTGTGCAAGGCGATGTGCACTCACTGGAGGCAGGTACCCAGAGCAAGTGTCCTCAAACCACCAATGTGTGTTCTTAATCCCTTTCAGTGCTGGCGTACCTGGCGAGGCCCGGCACGCTCCAAGTGAACCGCCTGCTGCTCTCCAGGCCTGGTGGCTGGGTGGTCCTGGCCGCTCAAGTACCAACCTTCTTACCTTTCAGGTTTGGCTGTAGGTCTGGGCTTTGGGGCCCTGGCTGAAGTCGCCAAGAAGAGTCTGCGCTCCGAGGACTCCACAGGTGAGCAGGGCCCCGGCGTAGGGAGCGGTGGTCAAGCCTGCCAGCCTGCAGGCCGCCTCTGTCCCAGGAGCGCCAGCCACCGAGGACCGCCCCATGTCCCAACTGCAGGAGCCCTCTCAAAGTTTAGTTCATGTGGGCAGTGTTCCTGGCGTTGAGCGACTGCTCATCTGGGTAAAGAGGTGGATGGTTGGAGGTGGCTCCTCCCTTCTGCCCCAGCCGATTCCCCAGCCCCTTCTGGCTCTGGCCAACCACACCCGTGCTGCCACCAGCATATGCACCTCCATAGTCACTCACTACCTGCATGCCCTCCTTGTGTTCCTGTTCTCCCTTCCTGCCCTGCTCCCGAGAAACTTGTGAACGGTAGTCTGGCCAGGTTGGATGTGCAGGGCTCCCTACTTCCTGTGCATCAGGATACAGGCATCTGGGTCAGGCACACTGTGTACTCCCTCCACTGACCATGACCCAGAGAGGCCTGGTCCATTCCAGAGACTTTGGCCTCTGAGACAGAGATCATACCTAATCTCTTTTCTCGGCCTCCCAGGGTCAGGTCGTTCAGGCTTGCCTGGAACACAAGTTGAATGGCCCCTTGAGGCTGTACAGGCTAGAGAATATTCTGCATCAGGCTGCAGCAAAACCTAGGGGTGTGCTAATGCTGGCATGCTGGCATGTGAGCCCCTCTCTGAGGGTAGGTAGCCAGGAGTTTACCCAGCAGAACCATTAGGGGTCCCTGTTAGTGGATTTCCCAAAATGTATTTGAGGTTCTGGGCTGGGTGCCCTCTGCCATGGTCCTACTCAAGTGTCATGACGCTCCCTCGTAGCTTTTACCCCTATTCATGGGGCCTCTTGATGGCCACAGTCTTTTTGGGACCCTGAGGGGGTGTGCCAGCTGCTCAGGCAACACTTGACTCATGGGGCTCCCTCTTCTGGAAACAGGGCACTGGCATGTTCCCACAGACCCCGGTCCTAGGATGATGGATACCTTGTGTGTCCTTGGAAGGGGCCCAAGAATGGGATTTAGCCTGGGTATTTTTAGTGCTGGTGTCGAAGTACTTTGGGATGTGAAGCCTGCTTCTCTGGGTAAGAAGCTAGCTTTCCTAAGACCCAGCACCCCCTGCCAGGTGCTCTCCACCCTACCTCGTCTCAGAGGAGAGAGCAGGCAGCGTGGCTCCAAGCACATAGCTGGAGTCCCGTCAGGGGCTGCAGTGACTGAGGCTTAGGTTCCATTAGCCCTGCCAGTAGGTCCTGAGGCTTTGGTCTAGGGTAAGTGGCCTTGGGCAGACAGGACCTGCTTTGGCCTTTTAATACGCCTAGCATGCCTTGACCTTGAGGATGCTGTCCAGGCTAGCAAGCTCTGCCCTGGGAGACCCTGTCCTGCATTGGGCATGCCCCCACGGTTTTGGCTTGTCCTGGCTGGCCCAGGTCATTCTGGATGGGGATGTGTCTCTAGCCTGTGACAATCAGTTCATGCTGGGGAGGAGATGCCTAGGAGAGCCAGTGGGGCCAGACACCATTTCCAAGTACAGGAGACGGGGACTCAGCTGAGTGTGGTTTATGTACAGGTGAGGGGCAGTTTGCCTCCTTTGTTCTGGAGTTAGTGGCCTTGCCTGGGTTTATGCCCTCTCCTGTCTTCCTAGCCTTGAGTCCTAGGGCCTGGGGAGGACAGGGGAAGGCTGCTCACTCTTGGCTCTGCCTTCTGCTATTGCTAGGGTCCCTTCTAGACTCACTTGTCTTGGATTGGTCCTACCCCAAGGTTGTAGCTAGGTCTCTGGGCAGCCCAGATTTCCTGTGGAATGACCTTCCTACCCTGCATATCTTGTCCTCCTGTCTAGACTGAGGAGTGAGCTACGTCTGTCACTGGGGCTGAGTGACTGAGGGCTCTGTAACTCTCCTCCCATGGTAGCCTCCTCCTCTGGCTTGCCAGAGCAGGCTGGTGTTTGCCTGGCATAAGGGCAGTTGTTAAGTCCTTGCCCTTGGCCTTCCAGGCCTGTGAGTACATTTGAAGGAGCTGCCAGGTGCTGAGCAGCCTGGAGGTGGGCTCCTATGACCCAGCAACTCCTAGAAAGTAACAAAAACCCTGACTCTCGCAGGGCCAGGGAGGACAGAGGGACCTAGAAGCATAGACCCCCCGTTTGGGCGTGTTCCTACCTTTTCACAGGGTGGATTTGATATGTGGGCAGAAGCGACGATGCCCTTTGGCCACACTGATGGCTGGCAGCAGGATGCATTTGGTACTGTCAACTCCCTGGAGTCATCACCCAGCTGTTGCCATTACCCTGTGTACTGGAAGGGGGTTGTCAGTGGGCCAGTTGGCTGTGCCAAGCTGTGGGGCAGAGGAGAGAAACAATACCCAAATACTGTGCTGCCCTTGACCCTTGAGGATGGAGCTATTCCTGCAGCCAAGACCCATGTGGCACGTGCACGATCTTCTGGTGATCAGAGACCCTTCAGCCAGGACAGTAGGGTAGAGGCTTGCCTCCTGTCTCCATGCTGCTAAGGAGTCTCCTGCCAGGCTTGCCCCACTAGCAGGGGAGGCCTCCCTGGCTTTGAGGGGCCATGGAGGATGTGCATAGGGACTTGAACTTTCCTTGCTGTTTCCATGGACACCAAACAGTTGTATATATTGCCCGAGTCCCTGTGCCCCGGCATTCTGAAGGTTTCTCCCAGTCACCCTTCCTGAACCCTGAATATTTGCTGCCCCTCCTGTCCCACAGGGAAGAAAGCCGTGCTGGATTCTAGCCCCTTCCTGTCAGAGGCGAATGCAGAGCGCATCGTGAGTACACTGTGCAAGGTGCGCGGGGCAGCGCTGAAGCTAGGCCAGATGCTGAGCATCCAGGGTGAGTGGAGGGCTCGGCTCCTGTTTGGCTTGTGGATACCAAGGTGGGGCTAGTGGCAGAAGGTGTAGCGAGTAGGGGTGGGAAGGAGAGCTGCTGTGGCAGTCCTGGGACATGGAGAAGCTTATCATCTTCAGCGGGAGCCAGGGCTGTGTATCTTGCCTCTTGTAGGGGTTTTGAGAAACTCAGAGGCTGTCTCTAATTTCAGCATGGCAGCCTGGCCCTGCTGTCCTGCCTGCTGTGTTAGTCTCTGGGAGCTAGTGGGGGAGCTTTCAATTCAGCTTTGGGGACCACCATGCGATTTCAGAGAGAGAAGACTGGGCTGCCAGAGTGAGGGGCAGAGTTGCATTAAGGGAAGTCTTGGGCTTCCCAGTAGCTCAGAATGGGCAGGTGTGAGAGCAAGGTGGGCTTACCCCCTTGACCAGGTTCAACTCTCAGGGTGGTGTTGGGTGTAGGGCACTGCCTGGAGGCCATGTCTCTGGGCGTAGACTTGCTGCAAGGTGTGTGGACAGCACATACGTGAAGCCCAGTGATGCTCACACGGGGCGTGGTATGGTATGGTGTCTGAGAATTCAAATGAAGGAAAACTCAGTGGGTTGCTAGGGTCAGGAGCTATGCTTCAGGGCCAAGAGCAAGCAGGATGCAAGCTGTGAAGCATGTTAGGGCTGTGTGGGTGTCGCACAGCCGTTAGCAAGCACATGGGGAGGGTAGGACATTGCCTTAGTTATTTGTACATTGCTGTGGTGAGACACCATGACTAAGACAACGTAGAGGAGAAAGAGTCCGTGGCCACCACGGGGGGAACATGGCAGCAGGCAGGCATGACACTGGTGCAGAAGCTGAATGCTCACAAGCATGAGTGAGAGAGGAGAGGAAGAAAAGGAAGGAGGGGGGAGAGGGGAGAGGGAGAAGGGGTGGGGTGCTGGGAGAAAGAGAGGTGACAGGAGGGGAGAGAGAGAAACCCAACTGGGAATGGCTTGGGCTTTTGAAACCTCAGTGACACACCTCCTAATCCCTGATCTTTCCCAACGGTTCCACCAACTGGGGACCAAGAATGCTAATAAATGAGTCTGTGGAGGCCATTCTCAGTTAAACCACCCAGACATGTGTTCATGGATAATCCATGCCTCACCATGTTAGACAGGAAAGAAGTGCATAGCGAAAGGATCGGTCAGATTATGTGCAATCTAAATTTTCTCTGTTAGTTAGAAAAACGTTGCCTCCCTGTCTGGTCATAGGGATGGGTTCAGACCTCTAGCTGCTCTTCTGGGGAGGGGAAGCTCTGAGCTGTATATAAAGGTTTGTGCCTTGTGTTGGTTGCTGTCTTACTAGTGTGCCCATCCCGGCACAGAGGACCTTTGCCTCCATTAGAGTCCCATTCTGGAGTCTGTGCCAGGAGGAAGCTGAGGCTGCGTCTGTCATTGTATCTGAGCTTTAGGTCCTAGGGTGAGGGAGGGTAAAGCTTGGTGCCATGTCCTACCCAGGAGGCCACACTGGCAAGTGGTACCTGGGTAGCCTTGTTATGGGGTGCATCTCTCCCTGATGGAAACCTCACTCTGACCTCTCTCGTCTTCCAGATGATGCTTTCATCAACCCTCATCTGGCCAAGATCTTTGAGCGGGTGCGGCAGAGTGCTGACTTCATGCCACTGAAACAGATGACGGTGAGGCTGGCAGGAGGGAGGGACCCTGGGGATCTGAGGACCAAGGCGGGAGTGGGTAAGCTGAGTGCACTTTAGGGAACCCCAGGTAACCAGGCTGGGACCCTGTCTTCTCTGGCCTCTTTCCAGAAAACCCTCAACAACGACCTGGGCCCACACTGGCGGGACAAGCTGGAGTACTTTGAGGAGCGGCCCTTTGCGGCTGCCTCTATAGGGCAGGTGCACCTGGCCCGAATGAAGGGCGGTCGTGAGGTGGCCATGAAGATCCAGGTAGCTGGTCCTGTGTGGCATGTGACTGTCCTCACAGGACTTCAGAGGCACTGTCTGTCTGTAGCATCTGGCTGCACTGGGTGCCAGGAAAGAGTTTGCTAGATGAGGAATTAGGGGCGGGGCTGTTCCCCGGCATTCTTGGGGCAGGATGGCCTTTTGGGGCCTAGGCTGGAGCCAGAGGCTTTTCCTGGGGATAGATAGGGTGGGGAGAAATGGAGAGCAGGGTGGTGATGGGTTAGGTCGTGGCAACCTTGTTTCATCCACGCTGAGGGCTGTATGCGGTCAGACATGGCTGAGAAGCTAGTGGGCAGGGATAGCCTGGCCTGCTGTTTCCCCAGTAACTCCCCTTCCCTCCTTGCAGTACCCTGGCGTGGCCCAGAGCATTAACAGTGACGTCAACAACCTCATGGCTGTGCTGAACATGAGCAACATGCTTCCAGAAGGTCAGGCTGGGCTGCAGGCATGAGGTGGGAGGGGAAGGGGCGGGCACAAGGATTGGGTCCGGGAAAGCCAGGGGAAAGGTCTGCAGAGCCACCTCTTCCACCTGATGGCCCTTTCTGTCACAGGCCTGTTCCCCGAGCACCTGATTGATGTGCTGAGGCGGGAGCTTGTTCTTGAGTGTGACTACCAGAGGGAGGCTGCCTATGCCAAGAAGTTCAGGTGGCTCCTGTGGGGTCCCTGGGAGGCTGAGGGACACCAAGGGGCCAGGAAGGGTGGACGGCCCTGGGCCAGGGTTTGGCCACATCCATTCCCCCCCCGCAGAATAGGTTTTCCCCTGGTGGGCTCTCCATTTGGGGGCTGTGGAGGGTCCAGACTAGGTGTGAGCTCCCTCTCCACACAGGGAGTTGCTGAAGGATCACCCCTTCTTCTACGTGCCCGAGATTGTAGATGAGTTATGCAGTCCCCACGTGCTGACCACCGAGCTGATAACAGGCTTCCCCTTGGACCAGGCGGAAGGGCTGAGCCAGGAAGTTCGGAACGAGGTGCGCTCATGCTATGCCAGCCTGCGTGCTGGGAACCTGGTGGTGGGAACAGGGACCCTAAGCCCTCCCTGGGGAGGCTGGACAAGGGGCAATGAGCGCAGCCTTCTGTTGGGGCAGTTAGGGTGGATTCAGGAGGCAGATTTTAGAGATCATGAAGCAGTGTGACCCAGGTCTCCACCCTGTCCCCAGATCTGCTACAACATTCTGGTGCTGTGCCTGAGGGAGCTGTTTGAGTTCCATGTCATGCAGACTGACCCCAACTGGTCCAATTTCTTTTATGACCCTCAGCAGCACAAGGTAAGGTGAAGGTTAGCAGCAGAGACCTGTGGCTCAGGCCCGGAAGAGACCCCCTCTCACTGCCCTATGCACCAGCACCACGGGGCAGGGCTGCAGTGTTGCATCTCCATTGTAGGTGGCTCTCCTGGACTTTGGGGCAACTCGGGAATACGACAGATCCTTCACTGACCTCTACATTCAGGTAAGAACAGGAATGGGCCCTGGCCCATGTATTTCAGAGGCCAAGAGCCGATGCTGGGGACTGAAAAGTGTGGAAGAGCCGCCTGGAGCTGGGCACAGCCCGTCATGTCCGCCCAGCTGGCTGTGACCCCAGGCCAGGGGTTGGAGACACTCGGGAGGGTTGTGGGGCAGGCTGGAGCCTCTGTTCTTCCAGGTCATCCGGGCTGCTGCTGACCAGGACAGGGAGGCCGTGCTCAAGAAGTCCATAGAGATGAAGTTCCTAACTGGCTATGAGGTCAAGGTGAGTGAAGCACCCAGGCTTACAATGGAGATTCAGGCTCAGCTCCCTGTAGGCATGGCTGTGTCTTCCCTTGGCACCTAAGAACCAGTGGCTCTCGGGGGGGGGCCCTTGGAGGCCTCTCCCTAGTAGGAAGTGTGTATTGTACAGCAGGACTGTTCTGCTTAGGGTTTACCAGTTGGTGCTGCCTGCCCACCCTGGCCACCAAGAGGTAGGGGCTGGCCTGCTTGGGTGGGCAGGTTACCCAAGCCTTTAGAGCCTCTTCACCCAGCAGCTGTCAGGGAGCTGACCTTCCCTGACCTGGGTTCACACCATCAGGATGGGTGGCCCTGCTTCATCTCCTTCCCACCTGCCAAGGTGACTTATTTCCTCTGTGCAGCTAGTTTGGTTTGATCCTGGCCCACCTGCCCCTTGCCCCTCCAGTGTTCTGCTGGTGAGGGCTACTTTTCATGCACCCTCTGTCTTGAAAGTGCTGCCATGTGCTAGGATCTGGGCACAACAGTGCCCAGTGGCCGAAGCCTGCTTGAACAGCTTTGTGAGGATGGAGTGAATGCTGTGGGAGGGGAGGAGGCCTCTGCGCTCTGCCTTGTCTCACATGTGCTCCTGGGTCTGCCTGCTTGCTGGGGGTCAAAGTTACCTGATACCACTCTTCAGGCCAAAGCTGTCCTCCAGGCCCAAGCACTTGGTGCTGAAATCAGGAGCTATGGAAGGACTGGGCTGAGGGCTTCTGATCCAGTCATCTCTGCCCTTCCTCTTGATGCAGGCTATGGAGGATGCCCACCTAGATGCCATCCTCATCCTGGGGGAGGCCTTTGCCTCAGAAGAGCCCTTTGACTTTGGCACCCAGAGCACCACTGAGAAGATCCATAACTTGATCCCCGTCATGCTGAAGCACCGCCTCATCCCGCCCCCGGAGGAGACCTACTCTCTGCACCGAAAGATGGGCGGCTCTTTCCTCATCTGCTCCAAGCTGAAGGCTCGCTTCCCCTGCAAGGCCATGTTCGAGGAAGCCTATAGTAACTACTGCAGGATGAAGGCTGGGCTGCTGTAGGCTAGGCATGGACCAGGCTGACGAGGGGTCACGCTCCTTCAGGCTCAGCAAGGCAGACGGAGGATGTTCAGAGGGAGCCATGCCTCCAGGAGTAGGAAGAGAGCTCTGCAGAGACCCCAACTGCTGCTTCTCAACTGTCAAGACAATAAGGCAGGCTGTTTTTGCCATCTCCTCCCTGCTGTGGATGCCCACAGGGACACGGAGCAAAGTAAGACTAGACCCCATCCTTGGGGCCTCGTTGGCCATGCAGAATGAATTCTTGTGGTTCTGGGTGAGCTTGTGTCCCTGCCCTTTGCCATCCCAGCCCGTGGCCTGGAGCTCAGGACAATAGGGCAGCCATCCGAGCCCCATCTCAGCATGGACAGCAGACCCTTAAAGCAGGGCTGGAAGAGCAGCAGGATTCCGGCATGTTCCAGGAGAGGTAGTTGCCATCCCTGGCCCAGGGGATCAACAGAGGCTCTGTTCGTATGTCTTGAATTACAGTCACACCTTTTCGTTCAATAAAGAAGTGTGTTGGGGACTGCCATTTCTTGTGCGCTCCGTGAATCCTGGGAATGAGGTGGCCCCACTTACGACCTGAGTGGTATACTCTACCTGTAAAGGCCTCTGAGCCAGTATATCGGTTGCTCTTGGTGGGGACAGGCCATGGCAACATGGCAGATATTAAGAATTGCTGTGTATTCGTATCTCTGACTCAGGGCATTATTGGCACTGGGGATTGAGTCCAATGCCTTACAGAAGCAAGTGCTCTACCACTGGGCTGTACCCTTAGCCTTTAGACTTTTGAGACAGGATCTCATTACGGTGCTTAGGCAGGCCTTGAACTTGTAATCCTCCTGCTTAGCCCTCTCCTCCTGAGTAGTTAGGCTCACTAGTTTGAGCCACGAGGTTTCTTAGGCACTTTAGAGAAAATGAGCTTCTGGGTTCCGTGGCCACTTAACAGTAGACACTAAGTGACTAGGCTGGGACAGGAACAAGGTGCCCTTTAGGTCCTGGCTGGTGGCCTGGCTAACTCTCACCCCTTTACCACACTGGGCTCACCGTGCTGCTAGCGTTGTATGGGAACATGGTGTTCTTGTCCATTTCTTTGTGGAAAGTTTGCCAAGTCAAGTCCTGGTCTCCACAGACGCTGCCTTCGAGGCCCAGTGGGACTTGTGGACCTGCAAGAGTCCCAGTGGCTAGGAGGGTTGTGAGGGACTTCAGTTGCAGTTCTAGGGCCTTACCTGTGTGCCAGCTGCACCATTCTAAGGCACCAAAATAGGGATCCAGCTCTTCAAAGTGTCTGTCTGGCCACAGGCAGCAATCAGGTTGCTCCGAGGCTCACACTGCAGACAAACCTGAGACTGAAGGCCTCCGGAGTGTGGCTCAGGAGCTCCAAGTTCCAGATCAAACCCCGGGGCCAAACTGACCTTTGTCTTTTGGGATACAAAGAAGAGGTCCATACAAACATGAGAGACCTCTGAGCCAGGGGCTCCTCATACTCTTTACGTAGGGGAAGAAAAGGACAGAATACTCAATCCTAACAGCTCCTTATTTTATTGCAGTACATCAAAGTCTGGTTAATTGATACCAACATAAAATATTGGTGAGAAATCCTTTGTTACATTTTTGACTATCCCACCTTAAATAGTTCTGTGCAAAAGAATCCATGTCATAGTTTGGTAGCAGACACTCAGGAAATTCCCTAAGACATCAGGAATGAAACCAAACCAACCAAGTGCCTAGAGGCCAAAGCATTATCTTCCCTTCCACACACACACTGGTCAGCATCATATTCTAAACAAAAATGATTACACCGAGGCCATGCAAAACTGTACAATAATATTACAATGAGAAAAAAAATCCTAAAAATTTATAAAATAAATGGTATTGTACTATCAAATAAAAAGGCAGGTCATTTTGTTTCCAATGGCATCGAAGCTGACTTGTGGTCAGTGTCCTAAAACTTGAGAAGGGCCCTGTGTGGTACGGTCACTGGGACGGGAGAATGTGGTGCTGGCACTGGCAGGAGACACACTCACTGTAGCAGGGCTCCCCAAGGAACTCTGGATTTGTGACGGCTAAGAGTTTCAACAGGGAATGAGCCACTCAAGGGCGCAGTGAGATGCTGTGCGGCAGGGCCAGGGAGGGCCGGAAGTGGCCAGTGGTCTTGGGCAAAGTATGACCTACATCAGGGTGTCACACTGTTGGAAGTGCAGCTGTGTTGGGGGTGGGGGTGGGACTAGGTCTACTGAGCTGGGGGAACTGAATCTGTGGTCACTGCCAAGGCTGCATGTGGGCTTCGGCACTTGGGAGTTAGTTGAGTGTGTCCTAGCTTTTCTTACCGATACCTGAGGTCCAACACAAGCCCGCTGAACTTCCCTAGAAATAAGTGTGGCCATTAAGTAACAAAATGACGGGCTTCTAGCATGAAAGAGGAGAGGCTGAGGAGGAGCTGGCAGGAATGATGGGAGTTTCAGAAGCGCCCCCTTAAGCTTGGCTTAGGGATTCACTGGAAAGTCAGGCCTTTTGTTATCCCCCCGGGTCTTAAAGCTGTCTTCACTGGGAAGGAACGCAAATGGCTAAGCACGGGGAGTGTACACATATATATTTAATACACATATTTGTATATATGTATATAAATATATATATTTAATACACATGAAATCTGCTTTAGCACTCATTGACAAGGAAGGCTTTTGTTTTTGGCAACAAAACAAGAAACTGTAATATATTTTGTATACCCACCCAAACCCCACATAACAGAGTAGTCAGAATTCAAAGGATAAATAGCAAACAGGCTGGACATAGCACCAAGCACTAACCCATAGACCCTAAGCCAGAAATGCTTCTAAATCCCACCTCCCTCTTTTCCCCACACTTCTCCCACACACTTCAAATACCTTGCATGGGGTGGGTAGAGAGAGAGAGATCTCAAAAAGGGCCTGAGGCCTTTTCTCTGGTCTTTGTTATTGACTGCTTTAAGGAATCTTTGTTTCTGTCTCCTGGAAGCCTGTTTGCCATCTGTCCCATCCTCCTCCATAGCTTCTGACAGGAAGGCCAACAGGCCAATAGATGAGTCCAATAGACAGTTGTTATGAGGGACTCACTGCAGTGGAGCTGAACTTTAGGGAGGTTTAGACTGTGACTCTAGAAGGGTCCTTTTACAAACAAGCACCTGTAGGCAACAAAAATTCACAATTGGTTGTCAAAGCTACAACCAGAGGCTTAGGCTTAGGGTGGAGTTCCATCAGTCTCGGTCTCACTCAGCATGGCAGGTTTCTGCCTGGGTAGGAGAGCAGGGGAGAGGACTGAGGGGAGGGAGCCAGTTTTTTTTTTTTTTTTTTTTTTTTTCAGGCAAAGTGCCAAGTTCAAGTAGGTAAAATAGGGCTCTGACCAAATTCAGAGTCTGACCCTTAGTTTTGGATGTACAGAAGTATTTTTATACTTCTTTTCCAAAAGCAGAAAGATTTAGATTAGAATGACACAATGCCCATCCAAAAGGAGATGTACTTACTGCTGGGAGCCAGTACTGAATGTCTGTCAAAGCTGTTGTCTAAAGGGACCCCACCAGAAGGGCTTCTGTCACCACCTTCCCTCCCCAACTCTAGCCTCCTCCCCTACAGCAGTGTACCTGGGAGTCTGGTCCTCAGGGCCTGGCAGCATGATGGGCTGAGAGTCAGTACGCTGGGCAGGTTAGCAACTTTGGAAATCTATTTTAGGTGTGGTTTAAAGTGGGGAGAAACGGACTTTTCAGCTCCAAAGAGGTAAAAATTAGGAGTGGTGGGGCCTCTGTCTGCACGGGGCATTGTAGTTTCTCTCCTGTTCTGGCTGGTGAAGCGTGAGTAGAGAGGAGTTCTGGTCTTCATCTTGCTTCCTGGGACAAGTGCATCAGCAGATAGGCAGAGGGAAAGCTGGCTGACAATCCAGTGGCCACCAGCACACCCCTGGGCCCATGCACAGGCCCCACTGTCCCCTCAGATGGGATGGCATATCTGGTCATGGCTGTTCAAGCCCATGCTTCTGAGGTCTTGCATGATTTAGCAAGGTGAAGCTTTTCCCCAGCAGTGTGTGTGAGGAAGTTCACAACTACCCTTAACCAAAAAGGGAAGCTGTGCCCAAGCCAGGACTCCTCACTGCAACCGGGGAAAGGACAGGATTTGGCCAGGACAAAAAGCTATAGGAACCATTCCATGACCTTCAGAAGTCATGACTCTCTCCCTATCTCCTTTATAATGGGAAGGGTCACAAGGTGACAATTGTCTTTCACATCCATCTGTGCCAGATATTAAAATGTAACGGGGGGGGGGGGGGGGGGGGGGAGAACATGTTCAAATTGATCACTAAAGAACTGCCTTGAGAGGCGGGCATGCCTCTGGAGTGGCTGGAGCGGCTTCACTGCCATTGGTGGTGTCCAGGTTACAGGTCAGCGCAACGATGGCGCTTATCTCCAAACATCCCTTAGATTTCCCAGTGACCTCAGCCTGCCCAGGCTTGAGGACAGACACCACAGGGACCTGACTTCTGCTCTCTCTTTACAAATGTCACTTGAGGCCTTTCTACCCTGTATATGACTTAGCTGGGAAACAGACAAGAAACAACACATTTCTTTAAATTAAATGATCTTTCTTATATACGCATCCATCTTTCATTGAACACAAGATGCTTCTTTGACTATATACATTCAGTATTTAACTTCTACATTTATGTATTTATTTAAACTCTGTATTGTAGTAAAATATGCATTGTTTTAATTCGTGAGGGTTTTTCCCTGGCCACAGTCGGGCTGACGCTCATGGAGGCTGCTGGGTGCTACGTGAGGGCTACGGTGAGAACACAACCAGTCTACTCTGAGCGCTGCGTCTGCGCAGTCTGTCTACAGAAGCTACCTGGGGGGGGGGGGGGGGGGGGGAAGCGGGCCTGGCTGCGGAGAGATCCTCTTTGTAGTGGCGAGGAAGGGGACACTGCTGCCAGGCGCGTTGTCCGGTCTTGGAGTCCCTGCCTGCGGCTGCCGCCGTCCTGGGCTCACGGATCCCAGCTCCCGCGGTCTGTGCTCTCCAGGGAGAGGCTCTTGGTCTTTCGGGGTGAAACGGGGCTTGGGGGGCTGCTCAGGTTGGAGCTGTTGGAAGCTGTGGAATGCCTTGGAGAATCAGAGTCCTGCAAAACAAGGCATTGGCAAAAAGCTGAGTGATAATAGGGAGGACACTCACTGCCCCAGGCCCCCTCCTGTACTCAACCACCCATGGGCTTCTCTTCTGTGAGCAGACAGCGCCTCTGTGAGATGACTGGAGGACAGACATAAGCAGGGGCACGTGTGCATGCGGGCGCACACACACGCACGCTCGCGCAGGTGTGGGGACGACAGACCCTGCATCCGGGACATACGCAAGGCAGTGGATGAGTGTGGACAGAGCAGGGACAAAGCACGGGTGACAGGCGCAGCCGCCATCCACAGCGCACTCACCTCTCCATCATAGTCCCTCGCAGGGGCGTCACTCCCTTGGTCCATGCCTCCTGATGACAAGGAGCCCTCCGAGGGAGAGGGCATGGGCTGTCGCTTCATGCTGTAGCTTCCTCCAGAGAATTCCCTCTTTAGCGCACTGCCATTCTGGGCTGATGACCCTACGGGACGCCGATTGGGAAGAACTGCGTATGTGAAAGAGGCCACACCTCTGTAAAGTGTACAGGCTGACAAGGCCGAAGCCCAATGCTGAGGGTTGTTTCTGTCGCCCCCTGGCTGTGACTGCTGGTGCCCAGGCCACGTGGTGCCCACAGAATCCTTTCAGGGCCACCTGCCACTGCCATGGGCATCTCTACCAGGGCTCCCCTAGTATCTGTCATGCTGTAGACAGGCTGGGCTTACTTCCAACACATGAGGCATCTTTGCCTACCCAGAACTCACAGCAGGCTCCTAAGACATAGGCTGCATTTTAAGCAGCAGCCAGCCATCCTCAGGCAAATGCTGCCTTTCGGAAACTCACAGAAAACAAAGGCACACACTCAAATGCTTCGACCTTACAGCTGGGGCTCACTGCAGGGGACCAGCGGCACTGACGGCAGGAAAAGACCCTGGGGAACTTGAGCTCATTCAAAAGCTCTCCATGTTTCTCATCATTTTTTTGGTTATTGCTGAAGAAGTTTTAATCAAATTTCAAGATTAATCAAGGACACTGTAAGTTACAGACTGTTTCGACATTTTGCTGGTTTTGTAAATGCCTTTTACAGTACGAATCCAACAAAAAATGCCAGCAGATGACTGCAAGTCCAGCTACTGACCACCAACTGTGTTAGTGTTCAGAAAGGCACTACAGAAGCTGGCCTGGCAGACTGTCCTTGCTACCCCCAAGATCCCTTCCCTCCCTAAGCCCCTCACAGCCGTCAGCATACCTGACTCCTTCCAGAGACTACCAGCACTGTTTGTAAACTGGTATTCTAGAAATACAGCACCTAGGACTTTGCCAGGTCCTCTAGACCCAAATTCCCGACTTAAGGGTCTTCTGATGGTCACTCATGGGCTTCCACTCTCTGGTGCTGTCCCCTCACGACACAGCACAGCACATGTCCCTCCACCCCAGTTACCAAGAAGCCACTTCTTATTTGGAGGGAAATTCCTTTAGAAATGCACTCTTTACTTTGACATAGGTCTACGGTCTTCCTGGAGTACAACTTGACGGAAGGCAGTCATTTTTATTTCATTTCCTACTACCTAGCTGAGTGTTCAGTTGATGTTAATGTTTGTCATTTGTCACTCTGCACAGAAAGTCCAAACCACAAGCTTTCCACACCATCCTGTCTTCATGTCTTAACGAGGCTGTTTTGCCGCTTTCTGTCTCTATTTTCCTTAACTATGCATGAGAAACCAAACCAAACCAAACCCAACCCAACCCTCCCTTATGTTCCTTTGAGAGCTCAGTGCATGAAGGACAACATGAAGCCACGGCGGGGAGAAGGGCCTGCAGTACACTTCCTGTGCCCCACCTACAGGCTCCTCATTCCCACATCACTCGTGAATAGTGGAGGACTGAAGCCCATCTCAGGGACAGACACAGAAGTATCCACCTAAAATTTTATTTTTATTTTTAATTGTGTTTATGTGTCTTTGGGGGTATGTGCACATGAGTGCAGATGCCCAAGGAGGCCAGAAGCAGACCCTAGATCGAGAGCTATAGATGGCTGGGAGGACCTGGTGTGGGTTCTGGAATTGAAAGTTGGGTTCTCTGGAAGAGTATGTGCCCTTAGTGCTGAGCCATCTCTCCAGACACTACCTTCCAAACATTGGGACTGTTTAAAAAGATTAAACTCAAATCCTTAAAAAAGGGGGAGGGGCAGGGTGTTTTTGGTTTGCTAGTAAAGGGTTTGTAGTAGTGGAATGCACGGTTGGCTGACTGAGGTCACAATGCTGGATGTACCTATGACAATGTAGTCTTTACTCTGATTCTACGGTGTAGTAGGTGGTAGGCGCGGAATCTCTTGGAGTAAGAGGCACCCTTCTTAGAGGGTGAAGAGTTTCCCCTAAGAGCCTGTCACTGACAGCATCACAACAGAAACCACATCTAAGTCTGGAAACATATTCCACAGCTGTGTGGATCCGGGTCTGGGAAGACTGAGCCTGCTTCTGGTGACAACATAGCTCCCCTAGTTCTTATCCTTCCTAGCTGGCTATTCCAGGATAGATGGGTGACACATGAAGCCAGCAGAGGCATAGAAAAACAGCAATGCCCTTTGGAAATCCTGGAATGTCTTCGTTCACATTTCTGTAAAGGTCTTTAACTGAGAATCTGCAAAGGCATAGCTTGATGAAGGCATTAAGGGTCCTGCAGGACAGTGAGACCCCCCACTAGGCTGCAGTTTGCATATTGCCAACAGTGATCCCCACCTCAGCTACCCTAAGATCTCTGTGTCTTAGGTCCCACCTTTACCCACAATCTTAACAAATCCGAAAAGCCCTGAAAGACAAAGAGAGTTTCTGTTTGTTTGTTTAAGTTCCACGCAAATTCATGTGGTGGAAAAAGCTCATCTGAAAAGACCGGAGCCAATGCTGGGCTTCATGAAGGCTACTTTTGCACAGTATGAATGTTCTGGTCAGAATTTTTGTTGCAGAAATTAATATTAGTGTTTGTAATTCTGAGAAAAATTAACCTGGATCCACCTGTTTTAAGTGCAGGCCAGTCGTTTGTAGCTGGTGACCCCGAGCTATGGTTTAAATCCATGATTCAGGGTGATTTTGGGAGATGTTAGCAAGTTACAATGTGTTCGCTTTAACTTCTGCAAATACACTGAAGACTCCAGAAAATGCTCTACCATCTGTAGCCACTCCCCTAGGTGACCCCCTCCTTGCTGTTAGAACAGGTATACACTGGGGATCCTGTGATTAGGTGACATCAAAGCCATCTCCAGGTTCTAAGACTATTATCTTGCATATCGAGGAGATCTTTGGGCTGGAGAGATGGCTTAGGGGTTAAGAGCATCGGCTGTTCTTCCAAAGGTCCTGAGTTCAATTCCCAGCAACCACATGGTGGCTCACAACTATCTATAATGAGATCTGGTGCTCTCTTCTGGCCTGCAGGTGCATATGCAGGCACAATATTGTACACATAATAAATAAATAAGAAAGAAGGAAGGAAGGAAGGAAGGAAGGAAGGATCTTCCAGAACACACTCTGAAAAAAGAAAGAAAGAAAGAAAGAAAGAAAGAAAGAAAGATCTTCCAGAACACACTCTGTCCTTACGTGGTGTGTGTCTGCCTGCCATTTCTGTCCCTCTGCCCCTCAGCTCTCTTGCTCTGGGGAAGTCAGCACAAACCCACTTGGCACTATACAACAAGGCCTACCCTGGTGAGAATGAAGCCTTTCAACCAAGTTAGTGCAGAGGCACAGCCTCCTACAACCACAGGACTGAGCTTGGGCTGGATATTCCAACCATAGGAAAGCGGCTTTGAGTTGACTGCAGCCTTATGAAAGAGCCTAAACTGTTCTGACTCCCCAAAACCATGTGAGAGAATAAACGCATGCTGTGTTGCCTGTTTCCCTACTCTCCCTCTCTTCTTCCCAACCCCTTTCCCCAAACTGTTCTTGTCAGAGTCTCATTCCATGGCCCAGACTGGACACTCGCTATTCTCTTGCTTCAGGCCTGTGCTGCCATGTCCAGCTGTTTGCTATTTCATGCTTTTAAGTTGTGGGGTGGCTTGTTATCCTATAAGTTATAATGAGGATGGCAAGACTGAACCTAAAGCTATCTGAAAACAAAGAAGTACAGAAATCAATGTTCACTGAATATACTGCAACAAACGTACCAGGGTGATCCAATAATACAGGGCACTGCCTATGTTTTCTGACTGAAGACTCTGAAACAGGAATAGGGGTGTAATGCAAATGGCTTCTCAGCCATCAGTGGTTTGGGAGTAAAGAAGGCTTTGCTGAGGTCCCTGGTGTCGGGGTACAGAGAGTGTCTGCTGGACACTCAAAGCTGATGCCTTAGTCCATAGTCACCATCTTACATGTAGAAACTCCCACAGCTACAATGAACTCTATGAGATTATCTGTGTTCACACACACACTCAGACATGCTGCTGTGGCAGACTCCCAGCAGGTAGACATAGGTCCCCAGCAGCTCTAACAGGAAGCTGCTTCTGGGCAAACAGCCAGACTATTTCCAGGGACACATTTTCTTTGTGCTTTCATCTCCACTTTTACCTCCCCACCATGACCAGCTGGCAAAGCGCCTCCCAAACTGGCCACTTACGTGCAGACAGGCCACTGCTGGCACTCATGGAGCGGCCTGGCTCAGGGCGGGACTTGGTGATGGAGGGAATACTGGCGGAGCCACTGAATACCGTCCGGCTTTCCTGAGGACGTGGGTTCTAAAACACAAAAGAGAGGCACGGTCTGCAGACAGAAAGACACAGGTTCTCTGCAGGCGTTCTACCTTTCACTGATGCCCACGGTGGCAAGAGCTCTGAACCAGAGCAATCAATACTGGGCAGGGAGTGAGAGAGTCCCAGTCTTTCTCACCAGCAGGATTTAGAAGCCATGACATGAAATGAATCTTACACTGGCAAGAAATACTTACCAATAAGTAGGGTTTTTTTGGTTATGAAAATATTATATGGTTAGCTACAGGTGGAACACAGAATTACATGGACATTTGCAGATAACAGAAACTACAGATGAGATTATTTACTTAAGAGACCTGAGTGAGCCCATCTGGAGGAGAGTCAGTTAAAATCATATTCTGGACACAAATGTCTTGCTGATACCATGTGTCCTATTCATGGCCAGGTGTGCGGAATCTTACTAGCCCCGGCACACGAAGCCTGCACTGCGCATCACAGCAGTAACACCTGTTCCAGGGAGCATGACTGTCTTGCCCAGTGCTCTCGACTAGAAGGAAGGGATGTTGGTGCTGGCCAGGATCCAGGGAGTGCAGACACTTAAACCCACTTTCTACGTCTTAGATAGGCACATGCATAGGCCGTGTTATTCACCGCTTTCATCATTTACAATGCTTTGTCTTGGGTGGACATGGTCTTACATTTCTGCAAATGTTTTCTGAAGCAAGCTGTGTGTTGGGGGAGAGGGACGGGGCGGGGGGGGGGATGTGTGAGTGTATGCTTGTGTGTGTCATGAGCACAGGCCAGGAAGTGAAACAGAGTACATCTGTCTACACTATGGCAGCAGGCCTCAGCTTCTTCCGCCCTCAGGCTAACAGGGGCCTCACAGGTTCTGACAGTCACAGTGGCCCCATGATGTGGGTCTCCTGCCCTGATTGACTCACAGGGCCCATCTGGGAGCATCGGTGTCAATAACCTTTTTAATTACATCAGGATTCTTCTGGAAGGAATGAACATGCATTAGGAAAGACATTGGGAAAATGCAGTTATTAAAAAGTTGTGCAAACTTCAAACCCTGTGGCTTTCCTGAAGAATGCATTTGTTAAGAAAAGGAAGTCTAACGGGGCTAGCAGTGCTACTTTCCTGAGAGGAGCTGACCTCTATGCAGTGCCCAGGCTTCTTATTTTATTACCCGGGGAACCTTTGTTTGTTTGCTTTAAAAAAAGTGTGTGTGTTTGTATGTATGTACATAGGTACATGCATGCCAATACATATGTGGCGGTCAGGGGACAACACTGTGGAATTGTTTCTCTTCTTCTACCATGTGGGTCCTGGGTTTTGAACTCAGGTCATCAGATTTGGCAGCAGGCTCCATTACCCACCAAGCTACCTCAATTCCACATTCTTGTTTCTACACTCGGCAAATCCCATGATGGCAAAGGCTAATAAAACTAATAATAAAAAAAAAAAAACTGGAAAATACATTAACCAGCCAGCAGTTTTCCCAGTGCTGATGAGTTCATTAGAAATGTTTGCTTTTCCCTCATTGTCAAGGGAATACCCCAGACTGTAGGGTACATGAGCAATAATGAAATCATTAAGAGGCCAATTTTCCTGTTAACTCACCAGATACTACTAACACCTTGCTGTTTCCTACCCATGCTTTGTTTTAAATGTTTATTTGTGTGTGTGTGTGTGTGTATGTGTGTGCACGCATGTGTATGTGTGCATACATAATGCATGTCATATAGGTGGTTAGCAGATAGCTTTTGGGAGTGAGTCAGTTCTCTCCTTCACTGTACATTCTAGGCTTCAAACCCATGATGTCAGGTTTGGTGGGGAGCGTTTTCATCCACTGAGTCATGATGCTGCCCCATATGCTAACAGTGGTCAAAAGACAGCTGTCTACACAGTATGGCAACCATCAAATCATTTAAAGCATGTCCACGAAGGAGGCAGTCGCAGGAAAGGTGCAAACAGGAAATTCAGTGGTGTGCTTAAATTTCAGGTTGTTAACGAGGCCTGAACTGAACACTCACTTCCCAGTTATCATGTGGCTGTAACACCCACATGTGCAGAAGGGGTGTCTGCACATTGGGCTTTCCCAAACGCCTGCACCCCGAGAGAAGCAACTCAACATTGTTATTTTGGTTCCTATAGCAGATCTGCCAAGTCCATGTAATTCTGTGTTATTTGTTTACAGCAAATATTTTGCATTATTTTATCTCAGGAAATTTAAAAATTAAAGCCAAGACAGTGAAAGGCAGCATTTTAGCATCTGCACACACAGGAGCCGCCTCATGATACACAGCAACATGTGCAGACATTGCCACCAGGGGCTTCCTGGAGGAGGAACTGCCAGAGTCAAGCTGTTATTTCAAAGCTGAGACGGTTGCTCTTCTTCTCTACAATATGCCTAGAACAAATGATGGGAACAAGCTTCCAAAATATGCCAGTAACTACCATTGAAAACTAAAATACTAAAGAAATGATAAACAGAAAAATATTTTATATTAATGAGTTTATCATTGAGTCAAATGATAAAACTCTATTACAATATAACAAGAAATGAAAGTTTTTAAATTTTCTAGTTAAAACTATGCTTAAGGTAGGGCAAACTCCCAGTGATGGGCCCCGCTCAACTCAGCTTTGGTAAGCAGTTTCTCCCACAGAAAGGCTCTACCTGACTGTGGATTCCCTGGAATCTACTTCCTGCTGCCAAGCAAACTAAGGCTGATTTTATCATGGTAATTCTGTCAAGTAAGACATTGTAATTTAAAGTAATTTGATAATAAAACCAAAAATAACTTTTTAACCCTCTAATTTTCTTACTGAAAAATTACTTTATTTAACATTTTAAAAATTGATCTTACTGTTTTACTAACCTGGAAGCATTACAGGAAATAAGTTTGCATGGTATAACTTAAATACTTTAATATCCACAAAACTAACTTCCTTTGAAGTTCATATATGCAACATTAATTGATAAAACAGATCCTCTGTTCAGCAGCCATTTCAATGCATGGCCCAGGATAATGAAGGCATGGGGCTGAGTGAAAGGACAACAGCAGGTGCCATGCTTCTTCAGGACATAACAGCCTTTTTCCTGTTGTCCTTAACTTTTCTTAACTTGGGTCTTGGTTGCAATTAAATCCACATCAGTCACTGAAAGATTTGTGAAAACTAACTTTAGCTTTGGATTTCTTCCTGTTATTTGTCAGCATTTCTACCATTACTTTGAGGACTTTTGATAGGACTGTGGATAAGTTCTTCACAGACCTTGATCTTATCAAATATAAAATATAAAACATAAAACATTTCTCTGAACTGAAGTGGTTATAGAGGAAAGAACTGCTAAATATTCAGAAATCCAGGCATCCTCTTTCTGTTTGTTTTAACAGAATAAAGATCCAGTTGGGCTGTTTTTGTTTGAAGATGGTATCCAGAATGGAAAACAGCATAATGGGAAAACTTGATCCAACAAAGACCATCCTCCACAGCTGTTTCAAAATTGATACAGAAGCCCTTTATTCCTTCATATTTTCCCCCAAAGAAGAAACAAGATAGACTGAGAAGAGGAGGAAGAGGAGGATAAGCAGAAGGTAAAAAGTAGTTGAAGCTGGCAGCCAAGGAGGAAAGGGCAACCATTCCCCGAAGGCGCCACCTCAGTGGTTAGCGAATGCACACGTGGTTAGTCCAGATTAGCTCGACTCAGCCGTTCATACCCTCAGAGTCACAGAGTGTGGTGTCCCAGGGGCAGAGCGCAGGGATGGGGGACACCCAGGGTTTATGGAATCGGGAGAGAGAAACTGTTCAGCAGAATTGACAGTCATGTGATAGATGTGCTCAAAGTTGCTCGGAGAGGAGATCAGACTGGAGTGGTGATGAGGGGATGGATAAGGGAAACCTGGCTATCAAAACAACAGAAAGAAGAAAAAGGTGTAAGGTGATGCTAATGGATCAGGGTGAGTGACACCAGACAACACGCACATGAAGAACAAGGCGGCATCTCACTCAGAACTAGTCCCAGTGAAACTCTTCCAGGCCTTCGAGAGTTAAATTCTGTAATTAATTACTCAAACTAGCAGATTTTCAAAAGATCATTTCATGATAACATTACTCCCATTTTACCATAGTTAAGTGAGTAGTAGCATGGCTTCTAGAGACCCAAGAAGCTTCAGAGTCTTCAAGATCTTCTTATGTGATAGAACAAAAGCACTACAAAACTCTATCAAGCACAGAAGCAGCAAGAAACAGCTAAGGAAAGGATAAGGGACGTACGAGACCTAAGACCCTCTCCTAGCTACATAGGTACAAACCTCTCTCTCTGACTCTACAGCCATTTCTCAGCTCTGGACTTATGGTGTGTCCCGGCTTTTAGCCATCGTAATTCCCTATAACAAAAACAGTGAGAATTGTGGGCTACACTATGTTACCTGTGCACAGCCCAGCTCATCTCCATTTACACACCCCAAAGAACAAGCTTGCTTTCAGCAATGAAAAAAATTGCCTCTGAACTTTCAAGTGTGTTTTTTTTAAAAAGCAAATAAAACAATACTGAGGTTACAGAGAAAAGTCTGAAGGGAAGGCTCCATATCTCCTGCTGAATACCTACTTACGAGTGAGCACGTGGGAGGGGCCACTTGAGTGGCTAGCTGTTTCCTGGAGTTCTTGAAGAACACAGGATCCCTTCACTAGAGGAAACTGAAGGAGGTGCTGGGGAGAATGCCTTACTGAACCAAGCAGGGATCATCCAGGTGAGGTAAGATGCTTTGTAAAAAAAATTCTCAGGACTTATCTAAGCCTAAAAGATAGTTCTTTTATTTTAGAAATGTGAATAAAATCAGTACTTTCTAAGGTTGTCTCTAAAAAGAAGAAAATATTGATCTCTCTCTCTGTCTATCTGTTTTTTTGGAGAGGGAGGTGCTAAGGGTGTCGTGGACTGAGCCCAGGCCCTTCGTGCACCCACTAGGAAGGGAGCACTTTATCACTGGGCTGCACTCCTAGTTCAAGAAAGCAAACAGCTTAAGGAGGTTCTTGAGTTCAGTATGTTTTGTTCATTAACAACGTCAGAACAGGGGAAACGTACTGTGCTAGGAATATGGTGATAAATACTACGATGATAAATTACTCTTGAATTAGGTCGGGGGAAGACGTTCCTGTATTTCTAGCAGCCACTTAACAACAACCATAGGTAAATAAATTATAAGGACTCAAGAAAGCTAATTCAGTGTATATTCTAAGACTCACATGCTGCTTCATATTAACTGCTTATCTTCTCACCACTCACTATGAAGGAAATGGAAGGTTCACATCTGAGATAAGAGATAAGAAAGTGCCTCCTCCAAGCTTTACTGCCTATTCCATATTTAAGATAGAAGCAACATTATTTCAGGATATCTGGTACAAACGAAACAGAGTTACACTTCTAAAGAGCTTTTTAAAACTTTCTAAGCTCTTAAGTGTTTCACAGGAACATGATATTGACTTGAATACGATGAGACATAAGAGCAGCTAGGACATGTGTTCTTTGCACAAATGGTAACAAGGCTTTGTGACTTGGAAGCTCTTACAAATGTTACCACATAAACGTAATTCATCTTTTCTTGGGGGGGGCTGTTAATTCATAATTCCATTTGAGTGGAAAGAACATATTTCAGTGAGAGTCCATTAAAACTCAAGCTCTCTACTCCACGTGAGCATTCCTACAGACAACAGTGCTGTGCTGTTGGCAGTGTCTGCTCCTAGCTAAGTGTGTTCCTGGGCACAAAGGAAGTGCTCAAGAAGCAAGTGTCAGGTGATTAAACACATGGCTTTAGAGAGCTAGCTTGGTCATAGATGAGAGATGTGAGAAGTATTATATACAGAGTATTGTGTATATGTGTATTGGATGTGAGATGAGAGAAGTCATGTGGAAATAACAGGAAACAGAAGAATCTGGACACATGTAATCTCTGATGCCTACATGTGCACATGAAGAAACAGCTTCATAAATTTGGGAAAAATAAGTGTTTATCTTACACAATTAAAAAACATTCAAAGAATAGAAGGCACATTAAAAAAAATAAGTGATTTGGTAGGGATTTAATCTCAGGTGGGCTTGTGGGAGGTGGTTGGAGAGTTACCAAAATCAGGTGACAACCAATAGCCCAAATTAAGCAGTCTAACTGGAATCAGTAGCCAGCACGGGACGTCATATAGATGGAGCCAGTCGGTGAATGAATGACAAGTCATCCGAAATTGTTCGGCTTAATAATAAAAATCTTTTCAGCAACAATAACAAACACACAGATTTTTGGTGTATATGGTAATGGATACTTGGTGAACCTAGAAGGCTGAGGCAGGAGGAAGATAGGCTCAAATGTGATGCTAGCCTGGGCTACATGGTAAATTCAAGGCCAGCCAAGGCCAGCTAACAAAACATTCGGTCTCAAAAGAAACAGAAGATTTCTTTTAAGTGGTACGAGAGTGAAGGGAGAGAGAAGTATGGCTGCGTGTCATGTGACACGCATGTGTCACACAGGCATGTGACACAGCACACTGGAGGCTGAGGCAGTTGGATTTCTACGAGTTTGAAGGCAGCTTGGTCTTCATGGAGAGTACCAGGACAGCCATGGATACAAAGTAGACCCTGACTCAAAAAACAACAATAAAAAGGTACACAAAAAGAAGTAAAGCTGAGGGGGCATGTTAAGGTTTCCTATAATACTGAACTGTGATTTAGAATTCAAGGTTGGGAAGACCTTCAGAACACAGACAATGCTTCAGCTGATGGAGCCTGGGCGGAAAAACACTAAATCCTGAGATCATTCCACCTCGAGCAAAATATTGCAATATAAGGGGTACAACAGGATTTCTACCAAAATTCTCTATTTCTTTTATAAAGTTAAAAATATGATTAAAAAAACCTATGCATCAGGATGCAACAAAAGTAAATCTTTTAGTTTTGAAAGGTTAATATCTGTTAAAACCTTGCTACTGCTGAACGAACTCGCTGCATGCTACTCTTCAACATATTTATGCGTCTAAAGTTGCATTTCTCGCCATTCCTCAATAGGACACATTTATGAGCAAACTACCAAATGTTCAGTTCAAAGAGTGCACTGTACTTGATCTTTTACATACAGCCTAAGAATACAGTCACATTTGACTCTTCACTATTCTTTATAAAAATTCTCTCTCCTAAAGCGTTTGTGCGTAGCACTGTAATTTCCATACAGAGAAATAAAGTAGCAAGAATAGGAGTAACAGGGCTTGGCCTGCAGGACAGTACCGTGTGCACTGCTCAGATGAAGGCACAGGCAGTGGAGGACTCTGGAGCAAGGTTGGCAGTGGGAAATACAGCGGCCCGTGCTCTCACCCCAGGTGGAAACTGAAAAGCAGACCACCTTACAAACAAAGCAATGTACACAGCAGCTGAGTCCAACGTGCCTGACTTTGAGCTTCTCGCTTTGTTTTACTGTGATCTAGTTCATGTACACTTCATATTTACCCAGGACAGTTAATAAATCCCAAAGGGTAACTACTGTGAATGATCTGAACTCAATATGGGAAAATCGCTGTGGCTGCCATCACCACCATCATCTTAAAGATAAGAAAGCATGGCCATGTGGTATTTACAACCAAGTATTTTGATTGAAATGAATGTAGACTTATTTTTTCTTCCCAGGAAATAAATGAAAAACTCTTTATATCCTATTATTTCACATTGGATTTTTATTGCACATCACATTTTATCACTTCTTTCTCATTTCTTCTACCACTGTCTTGAGAAGGAGATTAAACCAATGTCCTTAGGAAGAGATTAGGGTCAGTACGTGCAGTCCTCTCCAAACCTGCCGTAAGATTAGGAATTATTCTTAAAATTCTTTGTCCAACTGAGCAGCTATCCCTACTGATCAAAGGGTCATATTTGATTTTAGTCGTTTGCTAGGAGTGTATGACACTGACATTTTAGGAGCAAATAGAGCCTCAATAATTTGATATTTCCACTAGTAATTTTAACCTCAGCATAATGGGTCTGTGGATGCAATCTCCATGTTGTTAAAATACAACAGTCTTCCTATGTTGCACTTCTTTTTACACATAATTGACCAGGAAACATGCTTGGATTTGAGCAAAGGAACAAGATTTAATTTCACAGTTAGCTGAGAGGTGTGACTATGAATGATGAAGCCCTGTGAACTTCTGGGGAAAAAATACCCAAGTATTTTTCTGAAATGAGTGAAACTTTAAAGTTTCGGTAACTGCATCTGGGATTTGTTACAGAACCTTTCAAAGATGACTGCTCCTTCCACTAACAATAGCAAAATTGTATTTGCAAAATGGAAACTTTTCTGGGGTTAAGAACTTTTGTTTTGCGTTTTGACAGATTTCTGAATTTTAAGTTTCTCTATCAGGTATGTCACCATGCCTCTTAGACGTGCTGTGACATGTTGAAGGAACATGTTCTCACTATACAACACATTCTGTAAAGCTGTGCATGTATGTTAGCCTATGTACACATGTTCCCCAGGAATCTGACACTGACTCCTCACCCCGTTCATACTCACACCGCTCTTCACACCTCTTACCATGGGCAGGTCTTTTAGGATCTGTATTCCATCTCCAGGACCCATGTGTGCTATGTGGTTAAAATTAGTTGGGTTAGAAATTAATTTATTTCTCATTTCTGGATCTCGTAGCATCTCCCTGCAAGGTAGAACACCTGTTTAGACAGTTTTTCCACATTTAATCAATATAACTTTAAAAATAAAGCATACTTTGTTTTATTAAAAATAAGCTATAAGTAGAAATAATAATATATTAGTAGTTCAGTTCCTTAGACTGCTTTGCTTTTTAAATTTTAAATAAAATCTTGAGGTTTAGGATTTTATTTGTTTGTCTAGCTTGTTCAGTGCTAGGGACCAGAGACAGGGACACATACATGTATCACAAGTTCTGCACCACTGAGCTGTACCCCTTGCATCAAAGAATTCCTGCTCTACTTTGCAGATAATTTTTAAAAATTATATGTGTATCTTTTATAATACATAACATTTTAGAAATGGTTTTTAGTATGGTAACATCTGCTTGCTTATGGAGAATAGAGTTAATCTGAGTTTCCTTTTATTTTTAAAATTTAATCTTTTAGGAATGGTCTTACCCTTTAGTTCAGGGCATGCTGGCCTCAAGCTCAAGATAATCCTCCTGCCTCAGCCTCCTGAGTGCTAAGATTACAGGTGTGAGCCACCATGCCTGGCTTCTGTACTCCTTAGGCATATACAATTTTATTACATACACAGATAATTTATATTACAGTTACACGTGCCAGAAATTATACCTCTTCTGTATAAATAAAGAAAAGAGTGAAGATATGGTACTTTATCCCTATACTCTCATAACTTTGAAAGTATTAATTAAAATGGCACTGAGGATGCCACCCATTGCTGGAGGATCTGTCCCCAGGTAGAGCCTGATTCCTGGGCCTTACTCTCATGCTGTGCAAATACTCTGCCAATAAGCCACCCTGACCCTACAATTTTTGCCCAGAACTGACAAATTTTGGTGAGAAATTTTCAGATACCAAGTCTTCCTGCTAAATTGTTTCTAGCCCGTCACCTGGGTGCTGACAGCACGGATGGATCTGGCAGTATGGATGGATGCTGGCAGCAGAGATAGATGCTGAGCATAAACTAACCACACACCTCCTCTGCTGCATCCTCTCTTCCTCTGGGACTCTGAAGGAGTAACGCCGCTTGTTGTTGATATTTCTAACCATTTGTTTTCGACTATTATCTGATGTTTCAGGAACTACAAGTTCATCCCCTTCTGTGACAAAGAAAATAATGACATTATTTAAATGGTTAAAGTTCTTTCTTCCCATTAATCTCTATGACATTGCAATCAATTGTATAATAGGTACAACTGTGATAATCCAGAGTTAATGTATTAAAAATCAGAAAGCAGCAATAATTTTCAGTGGAATCAATTAGGCATAGCTTACAAAACAGAGCCCCACTTTTAATTATAAATACAAGATGCTGCACTCTTTTAGAAAACTACAGCTGTCCTGGTATCATGCTGTGATCATCATCCACCCCCACTATCGTTATATTGTCTTCCTTCTCCCGGAGAGAGTGAGTTGCTCCAGGGCTCTGAAAGAGCCGTGTGCCCCCAACCTGCCGAGCCACCTCTCCAGCCCCATTTATTTCTTCACTTTAAAAACAATGACTACACCCTCCCCAAATTCCACTTTCCACACATTATTTTCTCCCTTCTTCATTTCCTTGGATTCCTGTGTTCAGTCCTCATTCCTGTAACCTCCTCTGCCTCTTCTCACACCGTCTTCAGTACTTTAGAGGCGCTATGTGTGAAGTGACTGGAGATGGATTCCTGAAGTCCCCAAGTGGGAGGTTCTATGGTATTACAGGCACAGAAGACACAGTCAACCATATCTTCTCTATTTACCCAGGTGCTCCTCAGGCAAATAATGTGTGTCAGAGTCAAACACTTTGCTTATAACAGTCCTACAAGCTTAAACAGGATTGTCTGTTTGCGGCTTGTCTGTACTGTCTTGCCAGAGTTTGACAGTGGGCATCAGACACTGCAGAGTGAGACACGCCTGAGTCAAATATGGGCTGAGGCACTTCATAGCCTTGGACTGTTGTAATATTTCCATTGAATTGATCCTATTAATATATTTTCTTACCTGCCATCTTATTTTTGAAATATATTAATCTAATGGTCTCCAACCCTAAAAGATTTAATGATCCTTCAGTGTTTAAAGGTCGGACCTAAAAATAAAAATAAAATGTGTATTTCAATAAAACCTTTAAAATTGAATAAAAGTTTTAGTCAACTTATTAAGAATACACTATTAAGACCTTTAGCCTACCTGTGTCAAAATATAGTTCTTTTAAAAGTCTCAAGTTAATAATTTTTACTAGGAATATATATTATCAACCTAATTTGAATAAATTAACTTTTAATAACAATATATTAAAGGAAGTCTATCCTGGACAAATAAAGCCACATAGAAATATATAAACCTTAAAACCCTTGAAAACCACCAGTGACCAAAAATTTAAACTAGAAAGAACACATCTGCTTTATCAATTCTCATCACTGAACACTGAATGCCCACTATGTGGAGATGAAGGTGCTGATGGAAACAGGGTCACTCCTAAGCAGTGATGGAGGAGCCAGTCACACAAACAATGTAAGATCCACGCTTCACAGCACACATTTCAACTCAGTTCTAAGCAGATCACAGGCACACGTGAAGCAAGGGGAAGTTACTATGTACAAAATACTGCACATAGCAACATGCTGAAGTCAGAAACAGGAAATCTGGAAGAAAACAAAAGCTTATATCTTTATGGTCTTGAAGGAGGAAAGTTTCTTAAGAAGAGAAAAAGGATAGCCTAAACAACAGGAATAACACCTTACTTCAGTAAAGTCAATAATTTTGTTCAGGAAAATACATCACAAACATAAGCAGATGTCATAAATATGGAAAAAATTTATCCCATGTGTTAGTAATCCAGCATCCACATAAACAAGTCCAATAAACCAGGAAGAAAAAAATGTCAAATTCAACAACAAAGTGAGCAAATATGACCAGGCACTGCCTGCACGGGGAAATATGAAGGGTGATAAAACACATGTATCAAGACATATGCAGAAATGGTGACAATAACAAAGAATTCAAAGTAATGCTGTCAACCAGATAACAAATAAATACTAATGTATTCACTTGAAAGACAGTTTCATAGTAGTGAAAAATCAACAAACTGTATGTAGTACATATAGCAACATGTATGAATCTTAAAAACACAATAAATGAGCAAAGACAGCAAGGAAAAAACTGATAATTTCAATAATTTAATAAATTGTAAAGCCAAGCAAAACTGAGTGCTACTTTACTGAGATACACTTGAATTTCCCCTCCATTCTGAGGCAAGCGGCAGGATGGTGAACACATATGGGGGGCAGCACTCTTCTGCCTGGACAGGTGTGGGATGCAGACAGTGCATGTGGAGGCAGCGATGCCGGGAGGCTGCATTCTTGGGAAGGAGCAGAGCTCACAGTGTTATTCTTTCTACAGGCCACAAACTTGTATATTGCAAAAGTTGAATGACAAAAATGAAATAGAAAACTGTGGCCAGCCCAAATTTATAAATTTGAGGACCATATTTTTGTTGCTTTATATAATGTAGTAATTTTATGAGGGTTTACATTATAATATAGCTTAAATTGGGGCATACTCTTAATTATCTTGACTATCATTTTACTTGTTTCTCTGTTAATCAGCCTCCTACATTTCTCAACCTTGACTTTCAACTAATGGCACATACATCTATATAAAATGATTATTTTTCTTTTCTACAAAATTAATTCCATGCTTGTAAACATTTTCTTTGTTATAGAAATAGAAACATTAATGGGAAATATTATGTTTTATTAGGCGTATGAGAAATCACTATTTTTAAATCATTAGACACCTTAACAGTTTTGGTTTCACATTTCTAGCCCATAAAAATCAAGGGATTAATCACTGCCTATTGGCGCATGAAAAGTATACTCCCTCTGAGCGCTTTAATCTAAAAGTAGCAGACATTATGCTGACTTTCTAGGCTGTAACTAACCAGATCAGCCCACATTTTAGTATTCCATTACCTTTTTGAGAGGAAGAGTCTGTATCCATTCCATGGAGTTTACGTCAAAGATATCAACTGCATTTTCACTATAAACAGAGAGATATGGTGCATTGTAACCTGGGGAAGGAAGAAAGGCATGGCCTGTTAATTATTGTGAACTATTTGTTTTGTTTTAATTAATTTATTTTTCTATTAATTACAACTAGACCCCTCCCAATCCCATCCTCCCTCATTTCTTCCCATGCCCCTCCCCCAGTCCACCGACAGGGGAGGTCCTCCTCTCTTTCCATCTGACCCTAGTCTATCAGGTCTCCTCAGGACTAGCTGCACTGTCTTCCTCTGTGGCCTGGTGAGGCTGTTTCCCCCTCAAGAGGGAGGTGATCAAAGAGCCAACCCCTGGGTTCATGTCAGAGACAGTCCCTGTTCCCATTACTAGGAACCCACTTAGACAATGAGCTGCCACGGGCTACCGTTAAGCTCCAAACATGTTGATAGGTCCAGCCTAAGCAACTACAGAGGAGGTTTTTCAAAGCCCCACAGTTATTATATAAAATTATGTTAAACCATTTCTGAAGTGAACAGAACATAAATCATAAAGAACTGATATGCTATAGCTTACATCATAAAGCCCAACACAGAAGGAGTCAATTAACTAACACACCTTGTCCAGTAAGAAATTTCATTGCATTTTAAAGCACTGGGCTTTTAAAGCAGTTATGCTGCCGACAGTGAAATAAACATACACAATGCAGACATGTTGACCTACGTGTTCTAGTCCAGAACAGAAAAGCAAGGTATGCATGACATGTGTATCATAGCACATCTCTGCTACAGACATGTGCCACCTGCAGCTGCATGACAAGAACAGATGCTCAACACACACTTGTGGAGGAGTGGTGACACCAGCAGAGAATAAGTGATTCACTCGAACTACTACGGTTCCAACGGAATCACTTGCACAACTAGCTAGACATGAGTTAGTCTGATTTTTACTTTACATTAGATCTAACTCTGCTACAAAAACAGCACTTATCTGTTATGTCACTGAGAAAAATGTTCATTCAAAAGAAATAAAACACTATGAATAGTTCAATCTGGGTGGCAGGGTCAGAGGGCTGTTGGCTGTTCTTTTACTATAGATTTCCTCCTTTATCTGTTGTGTGCACTCAGTGTTCGGCATACATTCTCTCCCTTGCCTTTACCTGGATGCCCTATCCCTCTATCTCTCTCTCATCCCTGCTCCAGGGGAGAGGGTCCCACCTCTTCCTCCAGGAATCCTTTTACTAGAACTCTCAATTCCACCCTGTCTGGACCCTTCTGGGACATCTTATCCTATTTTCTGTATTTTCCAAATAGTCCACATTTTTCTGCTGATCCTCTAATGGTTCTTCCCTCTCAGCATTTAAACAGGCTCAAGAGGCTTCCATGCTAACAAAGCAATTTGGATCAGATCGTCTCTCTGCTGAAAGCAACCGTAACTCGGCATTCTCTTCAAGCACTTGTCTGCCAGCAGTCTTCCCTCTGTGAGAGCAGTCTGCACTGCATCTATCTCACTCATGACCTCATCGCATATAGCAAAGTAAAATCTATTCAACAACTATTATTATTCAGTGAGAAGGTATTAAATGATATATCAATATTTTAATATTTATGGAAAGAGTAAAATAAGTTAACTTAAATCTATGTATATACCTATAAAATATGAAATGTAGTAACAATTCTAATAAAGGCTACACTATGCCTTCTGAGAACTGGCTAAACCCCCCCACTGAGTACCTTCTCCAGCATTAAGTCTTATGTACTACTGCTACTTCAGGATACTGTATTTGGGGGGACAATGAAGAGAACAATTTGGAATTATTTCAAAATACAACAACATGGAGACAAAAAAAAAAAGTTTCTCAGTAAGTTTCCATAGAAAGATTAGTTTTATTTACAAGCATTTAAAGATGACCCTATCTGTTTAGGTTTTACAAGATATGGTTATTTTACAAAAGCAACATAATTAGTACTTGGGGAAGACTTAAGAATGATTAAGAAAACAAGCTGTTAGTAAAATGATTATATTTAAAGCAAATGGAAAAGCAAAAAGGGAAGAAGGCAGACAAATAAGGAGAATCTTACAACAAGAGGAAGGACTGGCTGGCCACATCAATTCCTGCTGTCTAGATCTTCGGCCCTGGCAGTCTGTGTATATGCCAATGCTGTTAAAACACAGCAAATACTCTTTGTTGGAGATCTCAACTGCACAGATAGCATCCATTGGTTGGTGTGTAATGAATGATAGTGTGTGGTCATTTGAATGGAGCATATTGCATGGACTCCCGTCTCCATTCAAGGGGTATCTGAGAAATCCGGACTGGAATCCCACACAGAGTTGCTCACTGAAGATGGCCATCCACTGAACATTACATGGGACTTGAATTTCCTTAAATTTCCGGTGCCGGGTCTTGCTTTGGAGCAGTTCATAGCAGAGGACCTGTCTTTTCATAGCCACACACAGACAGGACAGAGCTCCATGGCGCACTTTCCCAGCAGTTATGGTTTGACACCCTTTAGTTTCTGCCAGTTTATAAAAATCCGTCTCTCGTCCATCCAAAGCTGACATAGGAAAAAGTCGGACATGGCGATTTCGGCCTGAGATCACAGCAACAAGCTGGTCCCTCGGAATGAGTTCAATCTGATGAATTTTCTTATTATCACCAACTCTAATAATCTCTACAGGAAAAAACAACAACATTAAATGCAAAGCTGTTGTATTAATTGTATCTAAATTAAACTCCAAAGTATATAACCCAACTCATATTAAAGACACATACACACAAAAGTAACAAAGAGAGAAAAAGGAAGATAATTAAACCCATTATCAAGCCATTTAGCCCACTGATAGCTGATAGCTCCTGTTAAGTTCAAAATTGAGTTCAGCATTGTCAGTCAAGGCAGGGAATCCCTGTGTAAAAACATGCTTAGCTTCACAAAGTTGGCTTTTTGGCACTAAATTCTAGGAAATTCAAATGGAGTTCCCATTTTAAAAATCCAAGTAATTGTGTAGCTCATGTTTCTTTTTGGGTATTTTATTTTATGTATGTAGGTGTCCTGTCTATGTGCATATCTGTGAATCACTTGCGTGCCTGTCTCCATGGAAGCCAGACGAAGGCATTAGATCACCTGGAACATACGTAATAGAGGGTGTAAGTCACCACGTGGGTGCTGGGAACTGAACCCCTGGAGTCTTCTACAAGAACAGCAAGTGCTCTCAACAGCTGAGTCACCTCTCCAGCCCTACCTCTTCAGGTATTTCTTTTCTGTGTCCACGTGTGGCCATCTACGTATGTACAGGTGTGTGGCCACCAGAAATCAGCCTAGGGTGTTCTTTCTCAGCAGCTGTCTGCCTTGAGGTATTGTTTTTTTTTTTTTTAATTAAAAATTTTAAATTGTGTATGTGTGAGGGTGCATGTCACAGGACAGGGTGGTGGTTACAGGACAAATCTGTGGAGTCAGTTTTCTTCTTCCACCTTTATGTGGGTTCCAGAGGTCAAACTCAAGTCACCAGGCTTGCTTGGCACCTTTATCTGCTGAGTCATCTTCCCCACCCCCCACCTCTGTTTACTAAGTCAGGGTCTCTCATTGGGACTTGGGGTTTGACAAGTAGGCTAGGCTGGCTGGCCAGTGACTAACAGGAGCCCGTCTGTCTTTGCCTTCCCAGGTCTGGGATCACAAGCACACATTACCATGCCCAGCTTTTTATGTGGGTTCTAGGAATCAAATGCTCACATGGAAGTACTTCACCAATTGATAGGATTTTCCTAACTCCTCCCAAGGCACTGCTATGGGTAACAAACTCATCAAGTTTAAATGAACTGCTTTCTCAAGATCTAACCTGATATAAAGACAGAACTTAAAATGCTATGTTTATGAATAGCAAATTCAATTGGTTTGCTTTATTTCCTCAGCACGTAAATTTCCCCCTAAGGACCTAAAAATCTGTTGTAGTGAACCACAGGGGAATTCTAGACATATCTCTTTACTAAGCATGAAAAGTAATTTGTAGTTTTGTTTTATGCACCATCTTCGACACAGTTCAATGAAACGACAGGAGAGGGATAACACAATTGAGGCTTTAGAACTTAAAAGGGGTAATAAAATTGAAAAAAAAAAAACTTTTGATTTAAAGCTGGGTATGGTGGTGCATACCTTTGATCCTAGCACTCAGGAGGAAGAAGCAGGCATATCTATGAGTTCAGCCAGCATGGTCTACACAGTGAGTTCTAGGGCAGGTAGAGTTACATAGTGAAATCCTATCTTTAAAAAGAGAGGAAGAAAATCAAATCTTTTGATTTAAAAAAAATATAAAATTCTATCTGGAACATTTTAGTAACAGAATCTTGCTCTTAGACTTTAGGTTCAGGAATTTTCTAACATATCGTTTAAAATTCCTCCAGATTACTGCGTGTTCTCTTACCATCTTTGGTGACGTGCACAACAAACAATCCTTCTTCATTCCCCAAAGCTATCCTTTCATGATCTATGTAAGACACAAACATTTCCATCAGATACAAATCACGTAAAGAGAACAGAATAAAGCAGACAATGAGAAAATTTGGCATAATAGTGAAGATAAATAACAAAATCAAAATGTATGATTATATTTCCTCTCAGATTACAGCAGTACATATCTCACGCCTTTTAAAATAGAACAATCAATTAAAAATCTGCTTATCCAATAATGAGAAAATTAAAGACCTAGTTAGTTAGTCTCATAGACATCATCTGTTCTAGAAACACGGTGAAACACGGCATTTGACTACACGTCTCACTGTTTTCTAACGGCAGCAGAAGCGGGACATACATGTACTTAGGAGGAGAGCAACCGGTAACCCGCCACATGCAGAAGCTGCCGTGCGCTGCTAGCACGTGCTATGTTCTGGGATTTCAAAACTCCTCAATGACACACATCACACACGAAACCTACATTCCAGGAATTGTTTCAACTCCCAAAAGCAGAGAAAGGCTAGCAGGCTGACTTTTTAGGAAGACAGCACATTTCTAGTCATGAAGTGCTAAAAACACAGACCTGAGACCAGCCTCATCCATCCCACAAACACCTGCACATATGCCAGACACTGGAGACTCCTACGTGAAAGCTGGTGCCAGCTCAAAGCACAGATCAGTAAACAGTCGTGACAATGTGATGAGTGACAAAAGTTCATACCTATGATCGCAGCGGCCTGCGTTGTTTTAATGAGGGGCAGAGTGCTGTCATAAGCCTCTTTGGGAACATACACCGAGCGGTCTCGGAATTTGTTCTTCTTCAAAATCTTGTGTAGTTCACTCAGCACTCCCACCCACTTACTTCTCTCATTCTCACTGTCTGCTAGCATCAGGATGGAACATTTGTTACTAGGTGCTGAGAGCTGGGAAGCTGTGACCTGAAACAATTCAATATTCACAACATTAGAAAACAGACATCTTTTACACTAGCTTCAGGATTATGCTCATTTGCTTAGCACTCATCAGTAAAATGAACACTTATTAAATTATCCCTTTAGCAAACTTTAGCTACAGCAAATGACAGTGTCTCACTGTAACCCTACAATTCAAACAAGAGGGATACAAGCCAAAAAGAAATATTACTATCATTTCATGCCCTTTGTTACAAATACCATAAAACACCATAAAAATGCATTATACATATTAATTTAACAACTGACCCTTAAAATTATCGTGTACCAGAGAGAAAAGTACTTTGCAAATATTAAGTCACTTAACTCTCTTAACAGCTTCCTGAGACAGGAACTCTGATTATGTCCTAACTACATATATGGAAATCCATGATAGAGGAAAAGCAATTTCTCAAGGGCATGCGGTTAGAGCGTGTTTCTATGATCTGAAGCACCACATCTTGAAACAGTATGCAAATGAAGGCTTACAAGTCGATCAGAGCAGTTTAAATTATGCATATATTACATATATATATGTGTATACTCACCTATGCTCTAAACATCAGTGACAACACAATTTTACTGTAAATTAGTTACAGGTAAGTGAGTCTTTATAGACTCCATTGTTAGCTAGGAGAGAATAAACAGTTGTTGGCCTAGAAAGAAGGTTTAATCTTTGACCTTCCTTAGATTCACAAATAGGAAGTAGGAAAGATATAAGTATAAAATAGCTTTGCAAATTTATATTGTTGATTTCACCATGATGGCTATCAGCAATTATTTGTGTGCAATTATTAGAGTGAGGGGGAGGGAGAAAATATGAAAAGAATTGACATTGACAGCCAGCAGATGTAAGAAAAAGGTTACTTTGGATTTTCCTGTTCTAATAAGCTGGATGCAGCCACAGGAAGAAGATCAGCTAGCACTGCAGAGCAGTGAAAAAGAGCACTACTCAAGTTTTGTAATATTTTTTTTTTTATAAAGAAATAGACAACTGAAACACAATTTTTAAAACTGGAGTTTTATAGAGACAAACTTTTATTTTTTTAAGTTGTGAAATCTCATGTGGTAATATTTATTTGAAGATTAACTGGGACTAAAAAGAACATGAAGAACACTTTAGAAACATTAATGCATTCTACAAATCTTAGCTCAATTTTGTATTTAGGTAAATCCTGGATGGTATGGTTACATAAATGAGTACTAGGTCTTGGTCTTGTCCTACTGACGTTATTTATGTTTTATACAGAGTAGCAAAACATACTCATTAAAAACAAGTATCAATCCGGTGCAGTGGTGCATGCCTTTAATCCCAGCACTCAGGGAGGCAGAGGTAGGCGGATGTTTGTGAGTTTGAGGTCAGCCTGGTCTACAAAGTGAGTCCAGGACAACCAGGGCTACATAGAGAAAGGCTGTCTTGAAAAACTTAAAAGAAAAGAAAGACAGACAGATAGAAAAGTGATCCGGTGCCAGACAGATGGCTCAATGGATAAAGCATGTGGGTCGGAGTCTGGACCCTAGAACCCAGGTAAAAGCTGGATAGGTTTGCCTATTGTCCTAGCGCTCCAGAGGTAGAGCCAGCGATCGCCAGGGCAGGCTGGCTACACTCCTACAGATGCGAGCCGCAGGCTCAGTGGGACTCTGTCTCAATAAGGAAGGTGGACAGCAATCAAGGAAGATACATGATGTCAACCTCTGGCCTTCACATGCATATGCACACAGAGACACATACAAAAACACCCAGAGTAATGAAGAGTTCAAGACATTCAAGACTTACTCTAAATATACACGGAATATCTTTTCGACTTGCGTGAATAACATCAGAAGCCAAGACTGAACTCACGGAAAATTCTTCATCTCTGAAATAAAAGGTAAACATCTGAGGCTATTTATTACATGTTGCTGTGTGTGTGGTTTTGCTTATCCACCCAAATGACATATACAAAGCAATCATCAAAGTTTAAGTGTATAAACATCCAATCTCTTCTATTTTTGATTGTGAGTCTAGCCTTTTTAACAGTGGAGCCATCTCTCCAGTCCTAAACACCCAATCTCAACTTAAAACAAAACAAAACACAAACTTTCTCCACCTAATGGCAGACAGTGCTCAAGGTAATTCATCAGCTCACCCTGGCACTGCACATAGCTGCTGACTCACACAGACACACAGGGAACACATAGGCAGAAGGTCATTTCTTAGTCTCCAGTCCCAGTGGACTCTTCTGTCTGCAATAAGTCTCACATGTACTCAGTCACTTTATGTGGCACTGTGTCTTCTGCACCTAAGACAGTGATTTATCCCTCTGTCCTGTAATGTCATCAGTACCACCACTCCTTTTGTCGTAACAGTCCTGACACTGTCTTCTATTTGTTTGAACAGACATTTTTGCTGTTGTCCATGTTATCCTTAACTGTGTGGGCTAAGGCACTCCCTTTTGCCTAGGCCCCAGTTTTCATTCAGTCCATTAGCAGGTCTACTGAATTTCCCTTGCTGATATTCCTTGTACCGATCCCTTGTATTTCACTGTGTTTCAGACATCACTATGCATAGCTGGAAATGTGCATTTTGAGCAATGGTTATATCTGAATGGCAGACATGTGGAATCCATCAATTATGAATAATAGCTGAAGCTGTAGGAGAAAATAAAATCAACCAGACAGTTCCTAAAGTCCCCCAAAAGGAGGAAGAAGGTGCTCGAGGAATCTGGTGCACATGAAGAATCTGGACAATGGAGCTAGAGAAACACAGATCCTTAATGTTTGCTACTGCAGTATGTTGTCTGGGGCTGGTATGAGATGTCCCCTTTACTGACACTGAATCATTTTGGACTTTCAGGTAATGACTTGAACAGCACAAATTTAGAACTTTTTTTTTTTTTTTTTTACTACATAACCTTTAAACTGGTCTTTTAGAGCTAAACTTTGACTTACAGCTCCACACACTCAATGTATAAGTCAACGTGCCCTAAATCACCCCTAACTTGCTACTTTCTAGTATATCACAGTAGCTGTAGGGCTAAACCTGAAAATGACACAAAATTAATTATTTAACCAAAGCATAGTCACATAAAAGAAACAGCATAAACCTTAATCCTTTGCTGCAATGACACACATGTCTTCATCCCTTGGGCTTACCTCATGTCAATCACTTGACTAATGACGGAGCTGGGCTGGGATGCTTTTCCCTCCGCGATATCGTAAAGAAATAGTTTGAAGTCGCAGACCACAGCCAGTGCTCTTTGCCATCCTTTCTTCACTCCAGCCGGCTTAGGGATCTTAGTTTAGTTTCAGTCAGATAGACAAACAAAGCAAGCTCAAATGAAAATGACAGCGAAAGTGCTGGTTCCATGTGCACTACAGGTGACACCTGAGGTTGCCCACACCTAGTCTAGGTCACAAGGCAGCAAGGGGGACATGGTGATACTAGTATGGGGAAAGGGAGACCACACTTCAGGTCAGATGGTTTTTATAGGGTTCTGATGGTACCACTTCAAACTAACAACTGACAAAAACAAAAGTTATTCATGGCTTTTTAGAGAAAGAGCATAAGAGGCAAATGTGATGATGATACTGATATTCAGTTCACACTGTAAATGTTACCCAGGATGGCACACTAATGCCTTGACAGTCCCTAACTTACACCTCAGCTGCACTCTGCCTCTCTGGCAAGACCAGAGGCCGAAGACTCTTTTATGATGATTTCAATGTAAATCTCAAGATACAAAGAGCACAGAACTTTGTAATATTTTAGAATTCATTTCCAAGTAATCATGACTTGATAAAATATTATTTAATGAGTTTGATTCATTACATTTTATGTCAAGCACTGTGCTACTGAGTGGCTAACAAAGGTACTCACCCTGACATGGCCCTCATACGCTGTCCCTACTCCCTTCTGTGGGTCTATGCCAAGTGGACCTTTAGTCTGCTCAGGAGGAACTGGACAAGCAGTCGGAGCTTTGTTCACACAGGTTATATGACACGAGAATCCACACACTTTTGGAGGGGAAAAAAAGATAATTTAGATAAAATTTCATTTTAACAACAACAACAAATTTTATTTGATACTAACTGCATGCCCGGTGCTATGCCAGACGAGTTCTTGCTTTCTACTTTATTTTAAACAACCATTTTATCACTAGGGAAACAGATCTAGCTGCTTGCCAGTTTCAGAAGTTCATAGAGAAGTAAATATTTTTATTATTTATATTATTCTCTTTAATATTAGTAATCAAAGTGAGAAGCAAATGGATTAAAAAAAAAACAACCCCAACCTTGTATATAACATGGCTGATTCAGCTACTCAATGTCTCAATCAACACTGTTAATTAATCTGAGTGTGGTGTGCATGTATGTGTTTGCACGTGTATGAGTACTTGTTCACATATGTGTGGGATGTGGAAGTTCGAGGCTGATGTCAGGCACCCTCCTCCATCTGCCACTTCCCTCTTGATTTCCCGAGGCTCAGTCTCCAGCTGAAGCTGGAGCTCAGCACTTCAGCTGGTCCAGCACGCCAGCATCCTCAAGGCTCTCCTGTTTCTACCTTCTGAGGGCTGGGACCACAGGTGGGCCACCCGGCATTTACATGTGTGCTGGAGACTCAAGCTCTGGGCCTCTGTTTCTGTGGCAAGCATGTTATTTCCTGAGGCAGCTCCCTAGCCTTGGTAACTGGCAACTTTTACCAACTGAAAACAAGTGTTTCAGTGACTAGGAAGGTATAAACAAAGGGGAGCATTTGGAGCTATATTCTACAAGCTTTCAGTACAAGCTGGATCAGTGTTAACTTCATGGGGCATTTTCTGTCATCTCTGTTACACACTTGCTTAGAGTCCGAGATGGGTGGCAGCAGTGATGGAATTCAAACCCACCCATCTGCTTACAGCCTGCGTACCCTGTTAGCAACAGTACTGTTAGAAAATGAAGACCTGTATTTTCTTCGCTGCTGTTCTTACCTTCACAGGAACAGCCCTGTCTTATCAAACCAACCATCAAGGAGGTACACTGATGGCACTTGGTAGGGGCATTGAAAGACTTCACAAAAAACTGATGAGTCTTGCGCTGCAAAATAAATGACAGGGGAGTTAGGCCTTCTGCCTCTTTCCGCATGTCTGCAGGGAGCTGCAGGCCCTTCTCACTCACCAGAGAGAAACCTTATGCACACTGCACATACTTCCACGTTCAACTTCAAGTTTACTTTTGTTTCTGGAATTTTTGACTATAAACTTTACTGTTTCTGATTGTATTTGACTTGTCAGGAATTCTTATTTTACAAATGTTGGCTCTTTTCTGCCAGGCTTTGATAGCTGTCTTTTACTTAATCCTTTTCACTTCTTTCCTCAGCTACTGACTGAAATGAGAAACTCATCTTCTGTCTCTATGTCATTGTCTGACCTTGACTTTCGTAAGAGTTTGTATTTCTAAAATAGTTTAGTTTCAGTTTTCTCTTGAACTCTTTCATCTATCACTTCAAATCTCCCTTTCTCTTCTATCTTGGGAAATACTGTTATTATCTGGGGAGGGACGGAGTGTGTGCAGGTGCCACAGGACTCCTGCGGTAGTCAGAGGACAACTTTCAAGTCAGTTTTTTTTGCACCTTGCCATCTCTGCTGCTGTACTGTGTACTCCAGGCCAGCTGGCCCTTGAGCTTCCAGAACAATCTGCGGGCTCTGCTTTCCACCTGCCCTAGAGTGCTAAGATACACACTGCAGCATCTGGCCTTTCACATGGGCTCCCAGGAGAAGTGCAGGCTATCAGGTTGCATGGCGAGCACCTCAACAGAGGAGCCACAGCCCTTGCCTGACATTTTATTTCCAAGCTTTCCTATCTCCAACTGGTCATTAGTCATGTTCTGATCACTTCAATATGTAAATTCCTTCAGAAACATTTAAACATTCTGAGCATGTTTTAAGTGTTTTCTTGTATCTTTTACTGAAGCTTTTCATTTTTTTTGTTTTGTTTTAAAATATTTATTTATCTTTATTTTATGTGCATTAGCGTGAAGGTGTCAGATCCCTTGGAATGGACATTACGGACAGTTGTAAGCTGCCATGTGGGTACTGGGAATTGAACCCAGGTCCTCTGGAAGAGCAGACGGTGCTCTTAACCACTGACCCATCTCTCCAGCCCCCTACTGAAGCTTTTCATCTCTAATTTGAAAAAAAAAAATTGGAGCATTTTTTTTTAATACAAAGCTTTATTTTTGCTGTGTTTGTGTGTCACTTTATACGCTAAGACATGAAGGTGCCCTGGAGGTCAGAAGAGGGCACCCTGAAGCCCTGAAGATGGAGTTACAGGCAGTGGTGAACGGCCTGATAGTGCTCAAGTCAGAACTCTGGTCCTCTGGAGAGCAGCAAGTGCTCTTAACCTCAGAGCCAGCATTCTAGACCCTATCTTTCTACTTCTACCTCTTCCTTACTGAAAGTCAGATTATACTCTGTAAACATTGACACTATTCCTGTCATATGGCTTACCTTTCAGATTTTTTCACCTCATTTTCTAACTGACTTATTTTTCTGCTATATTTATTCTTCTCACTCTATTATTAAAGCCCTTTGTGGACTTCAGCAGTCATATCCTTATGTCAAGTACTTCTAGATTACTTCTTATCACTGCTTTATCTTGTCTGGCATTACCTGTCTCTGTAAGGTATTTATTATGTTTACTTTAAATTAATATTCTGTCTGGCCTCATTTTGTAATGGTATCTAGTTTTTTTTTTTTTTAAGCAGATGTTCTTTTATACTTTTAAAAATCAGTTTTCAGAGCCATTGACCTCTTTGATTTGTGATTTATTTGCAGCTTATGTTCTGGGGAAGAAGACCACTGGTTTTCCAGTTTCTAGAATGTTTTTTGGATGGGCTTAGACAAGAAGCTCAGTCTTCATGACCTGTCATGTACAATGCCCTCGCCATAGGAGCATGGGAGGAGGGAGAGGGCCACCTTTACTCTTCATTCAGCATCTCTTTTTCAGTGTTTGGTTAACCTTGGACTCATATTCTCTGACAAGGGGCCTCAACTTAATTCAGGGTTCCTCTAATAGGCTTTGAAACATATTTTAAGAATTAAATACTGCACACTTCTTCCAACTTTCAGAACGGTATTTGTATTCATTATAGAATTTTCTTCCCAAGTTTTTCTTTTTTTTTAATTTTTAAAAATTTTATAGCTTTGAGGAAATCAGTATCAAAACTCACAGCAAATAACCAAAGTAGAAGAACTTCCCTGCCACCTTCTGGAGCACACTGAGCTTAGAGCAAGTACCTTAGGTGGAAAGCCAGCTGACGCCGGGCACGCCTTTTTCCGTAACGTTGGGGTGTGAGCGGGAAGCGGAGCAGGGTCTGCGATCTGAATCCCGGGCAGAAGAGGGAAGGAATATCATGAGACGCTGCTCACTCTACTTAGAGCAAGTCAGACCAGACAACGTGCAACAATGCTAAGGAGACATGGCCTCACCTCCCTGAGGGCCAAGTTCCCACAGAACTGTGGGTTAGGTCTGAGCTCACCATCTTTACAAAGGAAGTATTTTCCTCAATCACAATCATTTCAATTTGGAAATTGAAAAAGAAATAAATAGGAAATAAAATCCACAGAATAAAACGAAAATCACAGCATGTAACTTATACAAAAATGAAGGCATTTTCACATTCATTTGAATTTGTCACACTGACACTTAAAAATACCTGAATATCCAGCAAGATTTATGATATTTAGAAGATTGCTTTCTTAAACAACATTTTATTATGTATGACTTTGTGTGCATGTATGCACATGAGCGTGCTTGTATATGTGTATACATGATGTATAGGTGTGAGCTAGATGAACATATAGGTGTGGAGGTTAGCGCACAACTTTGTGAAGTTACTTCTCTCCTACTTATGTGCATATCAGCAACAAAGCTCAGGTTTGCCCAGCAAATGCAGTACCAGGCTTAGAAGATTATTTTTTCACTATTTGATTTTCATATTTAGAATATATATTATGTATATGGAATATAATTATGTAGATTTTTAACACAATTATTATTATTGGGATTATAAATTTAATTCAAGTTTAGTTATAAACCACATTTTTACTGTAATTAAAATAAAGTCTACCTTGTGAAGTATTGTATAAAATATTTCTTTTGAATAAAAAGTACCAGTGATTTTATTGAAGGTTATTGTTGGGGAGGAGGCTTAATTAGAAAAAAAAAAAAAAAAAGACAGTAACTTCTTTTTAGAATATTATGCGAGCACACAAGAAAAACAAGTTAAACTTTGTGTATACAGTCACAGAATAGTAAAATATTTAGAGAAAGTTGGGTAGTTTCCTGTTTCTAACCATAACCTCTAAAACTAATCATATATAAATTGTGATCCTGATATGGAATTTGACTGAGTATCTCAGTTTTCTGTGAACTATGAGTTTACATTCAATTTAAATTTTGTTTACTTCTGAGCAGCTGAGAGAGTACTGAGCCCAAGTTACAATTTAACATTTGAGAAGATAAATATAAAAGATAAAAGAGGAACAACAAAAAAAACTTATGCAGAGGCTAATAAAACACAACAGCAAACAAAACTGCCATTAAGAGTTCTACAGAAAGACTTAGAGAAGTTATTAAAATTCAAGACTCAAGCAAAGGTGCTGGACAAAAGATCAACAATGCCTAATAAAAACTGCATTTAACTGGATCTTGCTCAGCCAGCACCAAGTGTTGGGGTGCTAGGACAAATCAACAGCAGCACAGAGCACTGTGACTCACTCTACTGGAGAACGAGAGAACGACCACTGTGCACTCCATTTCCACAGGTGGGAGTGTCCAACGTGAAGACGCCAATCTTCCTCATGCACATCTATGATTCAATGCAATTCAAACACAAGACTCACACAGACACACGAACACTAAAGGGAGTATACAAAACTAGGGTCAAGCAGAAAAAGAACACAGTGGCTATGAGTGTTACCCTAACTCAAGCACCAAAACTGTTTTAAGGCCATGGTGATCAAGACAACGTAGACTTCATGACTGACACTTACTCAGTGCGAGAGTAAGCAAAAGGACAAGAAGCTCCCAAGACCCACGCATGCATGCAAAGGGGAGACAGGACTGCAAAGGGCAAAATACAAGAGACTTAGTTGTTTATATGGGGAATAAAGATTAGAATCCCAATTCCCACTCCACATAGCAAATTCAGTTTGATTAAAGTCTTAAACACATAAAAGCAATAATAAAAACTTGAGAAGAAAAACATAGAAGAAAAATATTTTCATAAAGAAAATGACTTTAAAAACACAAAAAGGAGATGAGGGAGGGAGGGAAGGTGGGATTCTACAGCTGGGATACAAAGTGAATAAACTGTAATAAAAAATAAATAGATAAATCAGAAAAAAAAAACACAAAAAAGAGAAGTCACAGGAGAAGACTGACAAAGCTGACCAAAAGTTTTAAAAAAGAAAAAGGTAACACAAAATTTAAAAATTATCTTCAGACTGGGAAAAAATGTTTGCAACCAATATACCCAGCAAAGAACTCATATTCAGACTTAAAAAAAGAACATTAAAAGAAACAATACAGGAAATTAATAAATCAAATGGACAAAGGACATCAACAGCAAATCATTAGTAGCCAACAGACACATAGAAAGATGCTAAATACCATTAGAAAAGGGAGAAAGCCAAGCTAATGCAAAAATGCTCCTCCATAACCATCCAACCAGTAAAATATCTGATTGACCTGAAGGCTGGCAGGGGTGTGGAGGGATGAGGGGCTCTCACTTAAGTCTGGGATGAGAATGGTACCAGGGACTCTGGGACACAATTCAGGAAGATCTACTTAAAGTTTAAAGGACACAAAATACAACTAGTTTGCACTCAAACTGCCCTTCTGCAAAAGCAAAGATCCTAAGATGATCAGCACTGACTGTAGCAATAAAGGGCTGGAAGCAGTCTAAGCATCCCAGAGGAGGAGAATGTTTATGCATGGTGGGAGCAGAGCATTTTCTGATAGCAGTTATGGTAGTTGCTGTTTTTGTAAAGCTCTAAACACAGTTGATTTCTAAAAACAGAACAAAACAATGGAAAGAAATGTGTTCCAGATCCAGGGCAATCCACAGAGATGATGTCACCATGTTACTCTTCTTGGTGGTGAATGATGAGACCATTACTCAACACCTTTGGCTTAAAGCTTATAAAGCAGATATAATTAATGAACTAAATGCATATTCTTCCAACTAAAATGGCAAATAGTCTTTGGGGGAGAAAACTGACCAATGGGCTGCTTAAAGAAATTGACTGACATAAATTATTAACAGTGTTTTTGACTATTACAAGACATGGTTTAGTTGAATGAGTACCCATGGCTAATTTGGCGGTTAGATGAAACTATACTGCTGACACAGTTGTTCAGTTGTGATAGCATTTACAATTTCATTTTAAGTTACATTTATGATGCACTGATTAGTTATAGCATGCTTTATTAAATTGATTAGAAGAATTAAAATACACGAATCAATAATGGCACTTTCAATGCCATGTGCATACAATTTGTATCTAATGTCAATGTTTTCATAATTTTGAATGTAATATTTACATAAGCCTATCTCTACACACTAACTAAAGGCTTTTAGCTATCTACCTACCTTTTTTTTTTTTTTTTGCCTATTTCAGGTGAATATGTGTGGTAATTTTCTACATTTTTCTGTATTACCAAAATGTAATGACCTCTATGAACCATAACTTATTGCACAATGTACTTAATTAGACAGATTTCACTTAAAATTTTCAATTTCCTTTCCTGTGGAGCAAGGCTGCTCCAGGAGGCACCTTAACTGGCTCAGCTTCGCTAGATGTGGAAGGAGATGGAGACCTTGACTGGTTGTAAAACTTGATGCTTAGGTTCCATGTGTAAGTGGTGTCAAGGGGATTAGTCTAAGAAAGTAAGTCAGGAAAAAAACCCAAGAAATCACTTTTTAACAACACGTAACTCTTAAGGCATGGTCATGACAACAGTTCTGGAGGAAGATTAAAAACCCTCAGTTTGAATATTCACAGGAGAGACGGCAATATGCAAAAACACTGGTTTTAGTACAAACATTTTACTAAATATGGAGGACTGCTATAATCTGGCAGCTGTATGGGAGTTTTTGGGTGAGTAGTGACACTCATTAGGATTGGCCATCTATGGGCAAAGGGCACAGGCAAGCATTCAAACAATTCCTAAGCAGTTAACCAAAGCTGCAGCTTCAAGCTTGCTGTTCATCTCATGAGCACTGGCTTACAACGTGTGTTATCTGTATTCCATGTAAAACTTTTGTATTTCACACACAAAAAAATCATGTATGTAAAATAAATGAGTACTTCACAAAGATATGTTATAGATTACACATAATTTTGTCCTAGACAATGAAATTTAGTTCTTCTCTGGGTAGTAACTGAAGTAAAACGAATTTAACATGGGCTTTGTGTCTGACACTAATGTCAATCTTATTTTACAGCAGTAAAAATATTACTTCAGATGCACCCTTTCAAGCTAAACATCCTTAGAAACTGAAAATGCTTTGGGTTAAAAGTTAGCGTGAAGCATACTCATAGACAATTTGTTCATCCTGGCAATTTTAAAAATTACTAGGATTGAGTTAAAGAAGATAATTTGTTTTGAATATAGTGTATAAAAAAAGAACAATGTTCTAACAAACGACTAGTTTCTCTTATTACTACTATGGCTACTCTTGGGGAGGAGACGTGATGGTAGACGATGTGACCCCTCTAAATCGAAACTGATCAAACATTTAAGTAAAGACATGATAATATGAATTAAAAAGTAGTTTAGAACACTTATTAAAACAACAGAGCCTTGTATGTGAAGCTAAGTGAACAAATAAAACCTCTTAAAACTCTAAGTAAGTGATCGGAAATAGATCAGAAACAGTTTCCCAGACATTAACTTTCCAGCTCCTGTCTTCATGCCAATCAGGGCTTTCATGTCTAAGTAGACAAATAGTTTTCTCAATTTGGGGCTATTTTCTCATGTATAGTTAGAATAGAATACTGTGGTAGATAGTTTTAAAAGTCAACTTGCTACAACTTAAGAGTCACCAGGGAGGCGAGCCTCAGTGAGGACTTATATAGATCAAGTTGGCTTGTGGCGTATCAGTGAGATTCTTTTGATGCTTAGCTGATGGAGGAAGACTCAGACCACCGTGGGCAGCACTGTTCCCTAGGCAGGGCGTCCCAAACTAGGTAAGACAAGAATAAGCTAGATGAGAGCAAGCAGGCATCATGAGCACATTATTTCTCTCTGTTCTTGACTACAGATATGGTGTGACCAGCTTTGTGACTTCCCTGAAATAAATGAGAATTATGAGCAACTAAATCCTTTCCTATATTGCTTTTGGTCAAGTGTTGTTTTTATCTATCTATCTATCTATCTATCTATCTATCTATCTATCTATCTAT